GCTATCAGAACATCCTGACTGATTCTAATCTGCATACGAACTGATGCAGCTTCGTATAGAACTAGAGTTGTTTCTCTGAACTGGGGATGTATGATTTCCCCTTTTTGCTTTTGGTATTTTGAAAGCTGCAGAACAAATACACTCATTTAACTCTATGAATTTAACTATTGTGTATTTGAATTCATTTTTCTGCAGAAACGAGATAATTAATATAATGAATTAACACTATTTATTTTGTATTAAAGGTTCTGAAATCAGTCGTAACGGTCACATTATACTAATACAGTTCAGATGCATGATGTGTTTGTGGATTCTCGGTGCACTGTACATCCGGAGTTCACTCTGCATGTCATCCACTGTATCCACTCCGGGGCTCGGCTTGACAGGGACCTCGGGGACACACAGATGGACTTTCCATGTTGAACAACATCATGACAGACACATGAGTAAGACGCTGCCTCTGTTTCAGATGCCTCTTGTCTTTCTTTACTGCCTCTTCAGGAACGCCAGGCTGGAATCCCCATAATGCTTCTCCTCATAGTGAATCTCATACGCAGCACATCCAGCTTATTAACTGTAAAGCCAGCTGCAGGAGAGTTTTCATATTTATTGTATATTTAAGTCCAAAAAATACGATGCAAGGAGCTTTAAATTTGATCTGTATACAGTCTGTTTTGTTCTATCGATCATGTTACTGTGATATTGACTGAACAGATATTAACGCAAGTGCAGCTACACGTTGACCTCTCCTTAAAATGTTAGCGCTTGCTGCCGTTTTCCCACTTTGTTGTTCATCTATGTTTTATTATATACTTATATAACATGGTATAGAATCACAACGCACTGCTGACTGTAAATATTACATTATATGTTGTTACATACATCTGCTGGAAAGCACAGGGAGGAGTAAAACCAAAGGAGAGAGAATGATCAAGGAACCCATAAAGGGATCCTTATGTATGTTTTTTTTTTTTCTTGGCCAAAGATATAGGATAATTATTTTTTAAACTAGACTTTAAGGAAAACAGACATGTGTGATTTCATTTTCCTGAAATGTAGTGACACAATATGAGTTAAGTTGCTTAAAAACCTTCCGAATTAAGCGCAAAAGATACCAGATTAGATTCCTAATAAAAACAATTCTTGTATAATTCATTCATCAATGAAAGCAAACAAGCCACTGAAATAAACAACAATCACCAAAACGTATTTTTAAAAACATACAAAGGCATACAGTGTTTTTACAGTAACGTTAGTCTGTGTGTAAAATGTTAGTCAGTGAATATGACGAAGCATGTGCTTTATTATCGCCTGCAGTTCTGCAAAGAGTCTGACTGGACAGTTTGTGTTTAACTGAGCACTCAGAACTTCTACTTTATGAGGAAACTTTGCAAAAAAAACAGTCTCTGCTCAACTAATGAACCTCCTAAATAATATCGTCAGAACAAGACCGAAGCTGCATAACTTCCTCCCATAATCACGACGATATATTAAAGATAAATTCTAATGAGGTTATTAATCTCATTATGCAGCAATTTGCAAATATTCCAATTCTTTAATGCCATTGTACTTATATGACAAATGGACACTGTTCATTTCTACATCTTTACCGAGTGTTAATTCAAAGAAGATTGCTTTGTGTAGTTAATATTAAAATGCATGCAAGAGGTTGCCTTAAAATCTGATCACATCACCTCATACGAGGAGGCAGCGTGTGAAGACGCCTCCATCATGCATTATTTTTGAGTTTCTGCGGTCAGAGCTATGTCTCATTTGGGGACTACTTTTGGGTTTTAAACCAGTGGACCGTGAAGAGCATCTAATTGGAGCCTCTTTTTTTATTTATCTAATTTTTTTTAATAACTGCACTTGTAAACCAAACAAGTTAAAGCAGTTTGGGTCATCACTAGGGCTGAAGTTAAAGTCTAGAGTTACAGGTTGTGGATAGAGTTCGTATGAATCTCGAATGAATTAGAGCCAGTAAACATGTGGACAGAACTGCCTGCAGACTGTGCTGTCCTCCAAAGCAGTGGGCTGGTTGGGAAATTGAAAGCGAGTGTAGAATGTTTGGATCGTCGTGCACTGAGAGTAAATTTACAGTAGATGCTCCTGAGCCAGTACTGTGGGTGTTCTTATCTGACTGAGAGGGAAACACGGCATGAGGACGAGCAGACGGTTACTGTCACATACTCCAGTGCCGTCCTGAGAGCTGCGCTGTCAAGCTTCTTCAGGAATCTATCGATGAAGGCCAACTGTCTGGCTGAAAAGCCTGCAAGTGGAAAGTACCTTATTACCATGCAAGTGACTGACTGACTGACTCAGAGTGGCTGCTGGCACGTTACACTGCTGCATCAATAATAAATAAATATGAAATAAAAGAAGTAAATACTGTGCCAGGCAATAGAAATTCAATCAGTGGATCTAATCAGGCTTCCCCCACGCATTAACAACAGACGTCACATCTCTCTGTAGGTAATTTCATGAGACCTCTGCCCTATATATTCTACTGGAAACAGCGTGGAGGGCGACCGCCGAGTGCAGCCCGCTTGTCTAAATACATCATATTTACTCCATTCATCCCCTCAAGAGCTCGTGGTGTGCCCGTCTTTTCTGCTGCTTCTTGTCTTTGGGGTGTTTTTCGCTAAAGCAGTTTAAGCGCAGGGCCGTTCGCAGATCAGGGTTAATGTCAGTGATTTCTGAGGCAAAACAGAATGTGTTTGCATCGCATTTACAAAGTCAAGTAGACTCCCCTGCTTCAGTCCAGTAATGTATATTAAAATGCTCCACTTTGTGTCTGAAGGCGGAACAATGCAAAGGTGAGCGTGTCTGGAGGAGCGAGTTGTGCAATTAGCCACGAAAACTCCGGAAAGGAGGAAAAAAAAGTAAACAAGTCTACAGTACTGGTGGCTTACTGAAATGCTAATGACACTATTACCATGCTGATGTTATTCACGTGTATTTGTTAACTATCTTAGTTTAATGTGTTCGTGGACTAAATGCTTGATTTCTCATTTTCATATTAAATTGTCTGAACCATTTTTTTTCTAGATTCTGGTTTGTGTTTTTATAATAACAACAACAATAATAACAATTACTATAATAATTCTCATTTTTTTGTGAATGTTTAACCAACATGTTTGTTTTTTTGTTGATTTATTGATGTCTGCATGCAGTATTCATGTTTTGACTGCCATTAGTTTGGTGATGAAGTAATACTGAGCCAAATATTTGGCCCGATGGTGGCACTAAATGGGGGCATTAAATTTCATGTCAGTGCATCCAGTGGTTTTTGACTTAAGTGACCGACCTACAGCCCAACCAGCCACCATCATGGCTGCTGAGTAAAATATTCAGTAAACAGATCATATGCAGAATATTGGGACTGAAGTTTAGTATATCAAATTGAAATCTCAGTTTTAGTACTCGTGGGCTGTAATGGGTACGCTGGAGGAGAGGATTGTGCTTTTAATGGGACTTAGTGTGAGTGTAGAAGGTTCCAATTACATCCATGGAGATGCCATTGTTTGGAAAGCCTCCAGGCATACAATGATGCCCGAGGGAGGAGGCAGTCATTTTGAAGCCCATGGGTATTCGCTAATCACCGCTGTGCCTCATGAGGAATCCTGCAAAAAATGACAAGTTTTCGCTGCCTCTCTGTCACAGCTCCATAATGCTGTGTGGGGAAATAACTGCCATGATTTTTTTGTGTTGTGACTACAACACAATCATTTCAGCGGGCCTGCGTTCAACACAGATGCCACGCTGAGTTTTCAGTCAAAGATTATCGTCCGCCCCTGGTGAACCCAGCACCACCGGCAATCATCTCTGTGTGGAAATCAATATATTTGTGCGGGATGGGCGGGCGTCGTAACTTCTGGCAACAATTTTTCATGAGTCTTAAATGAGTTGACAGAACGGCTTTAGCTGGAGAAAACAGCAAAACACGCTGCTAAAATTCTTATCTCGGTGCCATTGTTGCCGTCGTTATCGGGCGCTATCAGTGAAGGGATTTGTGGCACTCGCTGCTGGTGATGTGGATCCCTGACAGAGTAAACAGTTTGAGATAGAGAAGCATCGAATTGTCGCTGTTTCCGCTGCCAGTCTCTGCTGTAGAGCTGAAAAAGACAATCAGGCAGCGGGTCTACACTTGAATGCCTCCACTTCACCTAACAGATGGATATCCTCAAATTAAAAAGTAAAAAGACTTCAAAAGAAGTGTTTTGATGAAAGGGCAAAATTTAGAGCATCACAAAAGCAAAATGGCCTTACTGCACTCAAATTGGATTGGCATCAATGGGGCTATTAGAAACACAAGAACAGCAATGCCATGGAAAAGAATCTGTTATTCTGGCGCTGTTAAATCAGCAGTAATTAATATTTTCATAATTAAAAATGGATAAAATGGATGTGTAGATTTGCTCAAAGTGATGAACCACCCATTAGGCACAGCAAAGGCACCAGTGTGATCGCTATTCTAAGACTGTTAGTTAAACCAACTAGTTTAGGCAGCACGGCAGTGTGCAAACTTTATCCAACTTAGGAGAAATCCACTCGCAGGAATTTTCACATCATCACTGACAACAACTGACCAACTATTATGACTGACATTCCTAAATTAGGGCTGCAAGGTGGCTCAGTGGTGAGCACTGTTGCCTCGCAGCGAGAAGGTTTGCGTCCCGGTGAGGACACCCGGGATCCATGTTCTCCCCGTGCAGCGTGGGTTCCCTCCAGGTTCTCCGGCTTCCTCCCACAGTCCAGAAACATGTTGAGGTTAATTGGTGATTCTAAATTGTCCATAGGTGTGAATGTGAGGGTGCTTGGTTGTCTGTCTCTAAGTGTAGCCCTGTGACAGACTGGTGACCTGTCCAGGTGAACCTGCCTTCACCCTCAGTCAGCTGGGATAGACTCCAGCCCCCCATGACCCCAGTGAGGATTAATCGGTGTATAGATAATGGATGGATGGATTCCTAAATTAACCTATGGTATATCTCTTTCTCCAGGTGGCCAACCTTCTGCGATTGTTCCAGATCCCTCAGATCAGCTATGCCTCCACTAGTGCAAAGCTCAGCGATAAGACCCGTTACGACTACTTCGCCCGCACCGTGCCCCCTGACTTCTATCAAGCCAAGGCCATGGCTGAGATCCTGCGTTACTTTAACTGGACCTACGTGTCGACGGTGGCGTCAGAGGGGGACTATGGCGAGACCGGCATCGACGCCTTCCAGCAGGAGGCCCGGACTCGCCAAATCTGCATCGCCACTTCAGCCAAAGTGAGCCGCTCCATGAACCGCCAGGGCTACGAGAACGTGATCCGCTCCCTGCAGCAGAAGTCCAACGCCAAGGTGGTGATCCTGTTCACCCGCAGCGAGGACGCCCGCGAGCTGCTGGTGGCTGCCGCTCGGATGAACGTCTCCCTCACCTGGGTGGCAAGTGACGGATGGGGAGCGCAGGAGAGCGTGGTGCGGGGCAGCGAGGCCGCAGCAGACGGAGCTTTCACCATCGAACTGGCCTCCTACCCGGTCAGAGAGTTTGAAGACTACTTCACCAAACTGAACCCGTACACCAACACAAGGAACCCGTGGTTCAAGGAGTTCTGGGAGCACCGGTTCGACTGCAGCCTCCAGGAGCACGGCTGCAGCGAGCACAGCTTGAGAGATGGAACTTTCGAGCAGGAGTCCAAGATCATGTTTGTGGTGAACGCGGTCTACGCCATGGCCTACGCTCTGCACAACATGAGGCAAGCAGTGTGCTCCAACACATCCAAGGTCTGCGACGCCATGAAACCAGGTAACGGCAAACGGTTCTACAAGGAGTTCATCCTGAAGACCAAGTTTGAAGGTGAGTGCAGTAATAAAAGTAAACACATGGCATCAAATGTTTCAACAAGATAGAAGGAAGTGCCTGTGCTGTGAGGTTTTAAATAGCTGGAAATAGGATTCACTTCACTGTGAATGCTTTAATATAAAGCAAATGGGGGTTGCAAATAAGCATGACACAGGATTTAGACTTCAAATGGTTTCCTCTGTAGAGCCAAAAAAGACTTTGTAATTATTCAATTAGCAAAAATAATCCATGAATTAATATGGGGGGAATCAGTGGGAGGGGAACCTATCTAGAACATACTATTCTGAGAGTACCAGATAAAGGCTGGATGAATAACGCTCACATTCAGATCGACTGAATTGGTAGGACACCAGCATGTTTTATGTGACAGCATGTTGATTTTTTTATGTATTAATAAAAACACTGAAGACAACACAGTACCATTACTTGCACTGTGTTATACTTTCTAGTTTTCTAGATTTCCTTATTCCACATAACAAATTTGTTACAGAAATTACTACTAAATAATAGTACAATTAAGGTTTTTTTTATGATTATTCTATTATCCTTGTCAATGTATATTTCTGAATTATATTTTGCAAATCCTTAATAGCACCGTTAAATCAACACTGCTGTATTTTTGCTTCCTACCAGCTCCATTCAAACCCGCCGACACGGAGAACATGGTGCGCTTTGACTCCGTCGGCGACGGCATCAGCCGCTACAACATCTTTCATTATCACAAGGAAGACGGGAAGTTCATCTACAGGAAGGTGGGTTACTGGGACCAAAACCTGACCCTGAACACCACCATGGTGCCCTGGCGTGGCCTCATGCCGCCGACCTCCCAGTGCAGCGACCCCTGCAAGAAGAACGAGGTGAAGAGCATGCAGCCTGGAGACGTGTGCTGCTGGATCTGTATCCCCTGTCAGCCCTACCAGTACCTGCAGGATGAGTTCACCTGTGCCGACTGCAGCTTCGGTCAGTGGCCTCTGGCTAACTTGACTGGCTGCTATGATCTGCCTGAAGAGTACATACGGTGGGAAGACGCCTGGGCTATCGGGCCGGTCACCATCTCCTGCCTCGGCATACTGTGCACCCTGTCAGTGGTGGGCCTGTTCCTCAAGAACAATGAGACGCCTGTGGTCAAAGCAAGTGGCCGCGAGCTCTCCTACATCCTCTTGCTGGGCGTGCTCATGTGCTACAGCATGACCTTCATCTACATCGCCAAACCGTCCACTGCTGTCTGCACCCTGCGCAGACTCGGCCTGGGCACCTCGTTTGCGGTGTGCTACTCTGCCCTGCTCACCAAGACCAACCGCATCGCTCGTATCTTCAGCGGGGTGAAGGACGGAGCTCAGCGGCCGCGCTTCATCAGTCCGGCCTCCCAAGTAGCGATCTGCGGCGCTCTCATCTCCTGCCAGCTACTGGTGGCTGTTATCTGGCTGCTGGTGGAGGTGCCGGGGGTTCGGAAGGAGGTGGGCCCAGAGAGGAGAGACGTGGTGACCCTCAAGTGCAACAGCAAGGACTCCAGCATGCTCATGTCGCTCACCTACAACTGCATCCTCATCATCCTCTGCACCGTCTACGCTTTCAAGACAAGAAAGTGCCCCGAAAACTTCAATGAGGCCAAGTTCATTGGGTTCACCATGTACACCACCTGCATCATCTGGCTCGCCTTCCAGCCTATCTTCTACGTCACTGCCAGCGACTACAGGGTAACTACCCATGAGTTTCTTTTTTCTTAAGCAAATTGAGTCTTTCTGACTTATAGTTCTAAAACCTTCTCAGACCCACTGACGTGGAATAATGTAAATAAAGTCTATAAATGACTGCCCCTTGTGTGTTTACCATTCCTGAAGAAGAAGGTGTCACTTTCACATTCCATTTGATCACCATCACCCAGACTCATGAAAGAGCAAGCTTTCTTTTAATGTGGGCTGAAGGATCTTTCAAGACGAGAACAAAGACTCTGGAGACAGATCAGGCCTGAATATACTGATAGAAATAATTAATGACAGTCAAACCGATTCATTGAATCACGGCGTTGCTAAATGCTTAATGACACTTCAGGTGCGAGGAGGGGAAGTTTGGAGATTTATAACACTTTCTGTTTTTAAATACATCACATCTGGCCCAGTGTAGTGAACTCGCTGTGTGCTAAATGTGAGCAGGGATGCTGAGTGTTTGGTCATTTTGTGGCACTGCCTCCATAGTGCTCATGTATCTGCCGCAGAGTCGTCACGTGGAGATAAAGATTTGCAGCCTTTAGGTTTTACACAAATCGCTAAAAGCTAAATTTAGCTTGCGTCACACAAATGACAAGGAATAAATGAGCTGCATATGCATCCTGAACTCGTTAGCGCTGTGATGCTACAGCGGGCCACGGATGAGAATATGCAATTTTATTTATAGCTGCGAGTACAAATTAATCTATTTCTCTGCACAGTGTGAAGCAAGACAAGTAAGACAAAGCACACAACTGACAGAGCATGTAAGTTATGAGTGCCGGTGCCTTAGGCGGACCCAAGGCTACTGCCACAGCATTTTGGTCAAGGTGTGTGCAGCACAGTCTTTGTTGTGCAAACAGATGGGGGGAGGTCTGGGATCACACAGGCTCTGTATCATCACGAGGCACCTCAGGCTTTTCATGTCTGTAGTGATCAGCTTCCCTGGCACCCAAATCATGAACCGAACACCTCCTCGCCCGATCCTCGGTAGAATTTAAAAGACCAGCTGAAGGTTGTAGAAAATAAGGTTTCACAGTGGCGAGGCGGCGCACGGGGTAACTGTAAGAATGAGAAGTTTGGCACTGCAGCCGAGACCTTGATGCTTTGGTTCTGTGTGACAACAATAATAATGGCTGTGGGTTCAGTAGCCACATTTCAAATTAGGGCCGGATAGCACAAAGATATTCTAATGAGAGAGTAGCCTTGATGCCCAGTGAATCATGATGAACTGAAGGCTTTCACAGATAAATACCAATATTCTGTTATGTTCGGAAGCTGTGAATTATAAAGGATTTGCATCACATCTTCCTTCTATTCTTGATTCGACGTTAATAGTATGGACGTAGTCAGTTCCTGTAGGATGTGTTCTTTACATTGGATAATAAAATATGAATATCTTTATTGTTGAATAGGTTTTTCAATTATAAATTGCAGTGAAAGGAAAATACAGACTTAAAATAAAATGCAGTTAAATCCAACTCTAATGCAAATGTCTATTTTAAAAAGAGGCTACAAAGATTTAATAATAAAATGCATCATACTGATACGGGAAAACATTCAAAAAGTAACTCCGTATTGAATCGAGTATAAAGTGTAACCTCATTCTCTTTGATGCCAGTTTAAAAGAAGACACACAGTAGGGTTCACAAGACACCGCCGCGTCTACGATCTGCGCTTTCTAATTATTTGTGTGAACTGCTAAAAGGACATAGAAAGACATCTTTATGGCTCGGACAGAGCGACACCACCAGCGGTCCGGCTTCATTTGTTTCAGCTCTTTTTTGAAGGTAAAGTGCGAGCTGTTGTTGCGTGGTATGTTTGGGAGGGATTTCACTTCATGCTGTGGTTCTGCAAATAGAAGTTCCTGGACTGCAGGGGTAACCAGTGGGGTGGGAAGAGATGGAGCTCAGGAAGATGACCCCAGCAGTCAGCTCACATTAGCAGCTGAAATATGACTAACAAGGGCCTGACTTTCCAGGACAGCCAGCTGTGCTTTTCCCATATTCTTCTTCTTGTCCTCATATTCATGCACATACAAATGCACAATTAGAATTGCTAAGACTGAAAAACTCACACTCATATCCATAATTGAAAATGGAAATGTGGCTAATAATGCAAGAATAATAACTATATGGCACATGAAAGGGCATAAGACTGTTTTTGATAAGACTGCAGCAATATTTATTTGAAACTTGGCATTATGGAAACACGGTTAAATAAGCTATTGTTTGTTAACTCCATAACGTCAGTGTTTTGATTACAGGTTGCTGTTTTCTTTACACTTTAGTGATCATCAAAACTGCTCCAGATTAACCCTCTGGTAATCAGCTCACTGATTAATCCATCTATAAGCAGTATTTGACACGGCGGTTTATTGCTGAGTGACTCTTGGAAAAGAGGGAAAGTGACAGATTGGTTAAATGATTTGAGGATAACCACAGAAGGGTCGAGTGGGAAAACCGCTGATTGGATTAAAGGTTTGGAAAGAAACCTGAGCAGGAAATTAAAATAAAAAAATAAAAAAAAGAAGGTGAGTGAGCTGATCTGATCAAAGGCGGTTGAGTGTGTGTGCATGTGAGGCGCGCTGGGGCCAGGTGGCCTTTGAACAAACTTCATTAGTCCTTTTGAAGACAAAAGGCAAAAAAAAAAAATCCAAGTGCAGGACTGATGTATTCATCATCACACACTGTCTGCGTTCGCAGGTGCAGACCACCACCATGTGCATCTCCGTCAGTCTGAGCGGTTCGGTGGTTCTCGGCTGCCTCTTCGCCCCCAAGATCCACATCATCCTGTTTCAGCCCCAGAAAAATGTGACCACGCTCAGAGTCACGGCCAACCGCTTCAGTGCCACGGTGTCTACGTCTGCGTCCGCTCCCAGCTCCAGCTACTCAAAAGGTACATCCACTAAACTGGATCTAGAAGGTGGTGTTTAAGTTCACACACACTCACACACTTCAAAAGCTTTCCTGTAAAACACAATCAGAATGACAGACTAAAGTTCTGCCATGTCTTGCATTTATTTCAGTTTTTCTGTTTCTATACTTATTCAAGTACAGAAACTTGATAATTAAAATTCAACAATATGAAAAGTTTCTCTCTGCTTGTTTCTGTGGTTTTACATCAGCATGACTGAGCAATTAACATCCAGCCATTCTGTTTATTTCCGTGCTGGATAAGAGTCTTATCTGAAGCTAATTAATAAACGGACTATATTCCTAAATATACGAGGCACATTACGTTTAGAGTTTCCTTGGAAAGCAGCTTTCAGCCCTGCCTATAGCTGCTGCATTAGCTTATTTACCTGTTATCTCTCCCCCCGGCATGGGGCTGATTTCTGCTTTCTGAAAAGGAATATTTGATGTAAGGACAGAGACACATTCAGAGTTTTTTGCTTGAGTGAAGGCTGTAATACAACCATGAAAAAAACCCTCTCAAAGCCATACATTTTTCATTATTAGGTTTCTGCAGACAGTGAATTTACGACTCTGTGTTCTGTGTATAAAACCTTGATCACCAAATAGCTGCCACAGATTAACATAACATCATGGAAGTATCTCCAGATTCCACTTTGAGACTCGGTGCTTCATGCTTTCTGCTTCCACGGTTCCTTCCTTTATCTCTGGTTTCATTTCCTATCAGGGGAAAACTCTCGCCTGTCCAACATCACTGCTTTTTATTCCCTCAGGATCAGCCTCCAACTACGTGCCGGCGGTTTGCAACGGCCGCGAGGTGGTGGACTCCACGACGTCGTCTTTGTGAGAAAAAGGTTCCTCTGTAAGCTCAAGAGGCCGTCCCGTCATCAGTCACGCTTCCATCAAACAGGGCTGTGTAGGACGGAGCCCCCTTCATGCCATCTAACGTGTTGCAGAGAGATAACTCTGTCAGGGTAGACTGACTGTCAGTGGCGAGGGTAACTCTAACTGTGAAAGCTAAATGATGTTCCCACAGCGAGCAGTATGTATCAACTGTAAAGCCTTTTTGTATAGATTTAATATGCTGTGATCTCCTCGGTTTACAGATAGATGTGATTTAATGCACCGTGCCTTGTCCTAAAGAGTCTTGTTGTCAAATGGGTGGTTGTGAAGCAATAGTGTTATACAAAAAAAAACAAAAAACAAAAGGCTGTTCTTATCTTGTCCTTACAGTGCTGTGAATATATCCAAATGTTTTAGACATTGACAAAAAGAAAAAAAAAAAAGAAAAAAAAAATGCTTTGACATAAATTTAGTCCTTCTGTTAAACAAAATGTGTGACTAACCATAGTGACCGTGGTGAAAACTAGGCAACTAGACAATATACAGGACGTGTGTTACTGTAGACTGGTACAACAGTGTGTGCTTTCTTGTAATTTATGTAAATAAAATGTTTTTTTTAATATTAAAAGATTAAATTGCGCTGTGTTTGGGTCCACACTTGCGATTCTTCACTCTCAAGATGACGAGCAGCCCAAATACAGAGACTTATTTTACCTGAATGACCAAACTATTGTAGGCTTAAATTAAACTCTTGTTAAAATTTGGTGCAGATTTTCCTCCCGTAGCTGTGACTATTTGGGTATGCGCAAATATACATGTGCAATATACAAAGTCACACTTTTTCCTGTTTTATACTGACTGCAGGTTGCTTTCATTTTAACTTGTCTGCTCTTCTGAGTTAATTATAAAATTTAATCTTTGTCCATTTTTTCAACTTTAAAAGTAAAACATGTGGGTATTCCCTTCCAATATTTATGTAACGTACATACTATTACATAACGAAGACGGGCATGAGTAATAAAACACAGGGCTGGTAAGACAACTCATCTGCTGAGGCCTGACAGGACACCTGCAGGACAACTGAAGAAGTGCAAATACTAATCAGGCTTATTAATGTGTCACTATCACGCAGTAATAGCTGCCTCTGACATACTGGCATCACCAGCTAACAGCTCGTGTTTCCCACGATGATAAATCACTCTGCTAAATCCATTCACTTTTGCTACTGTAAATGTCATGTAGGATGTCAAATGAGTTCTTGTGCATCGTCTTGTGTGTGTAAATCCATCTTTGTTAATCAAATTTTAGATTCAAGGTTTAAATCTAGAGGTTTTGGCTCCAACACAGAAGCAGGTACCATGATGAGCGAAGCCCAAACGTGTCCCCAGCAGACAGACAGCAGCGCTTACAAAAATAATCTAAAAATCACAAAATAGAAAGAGCACATCACGATCCAACTCCTACAAAAGCAGCATCTTCACACTTTGGGTCCGTGCAGGCGCAGCCCACCTTACCCACAATGCTCTAATTCCTTCACTCAAGCGGAAGCTGTTAAAGCGCCGGCTTCTATAAAAACAATAAGCCCAGGGGAAACACACAGCCGACGCCTGCATGAGCAAATACACTCAGGGTTTTTAAACGTGAGGTGGATATGAAAAGAAAGAAAGAGACCAAGGCGTTTTATTAAACCTTTAATTTACAAAACAAAAGACACGTAACAATTCACTATTCTGCCACTTTGGCTTCCTCTGGTTTCCTTTTAAGAGGAATAACGTAGATCCCGTTCTTGGCTTCCTTTAGTCTCCACCATCGGCCCAACCTGGAAACAGAATCACATCATCATCATCACGGGATGAATGCTCGTTTCGTGATCCACTCTTTTTCAGGCTGAAAATCACATTTCAAACTCATCTGACAGCAAACAACGGCTCCGAGACGTCCAGATCTAAACAACCTTGACCTCCTCCTACAGCGCCTCCAAACTTCTCCAGTCGTGTGAACAAAACGACTCGACGCCAATCAAACGCCGTTATCAGAGCAAACTCTAATATTTACTATATTGTGTTTCGCTGCGAGCTAATAACTGAAATTTTATTAAACTGTCAAATTTGGATGCGCTGAAGCCTTGAGGTTCTGTTCAGAGAGTCGGCTCCGGTTCAGAATCAAAGCACCTTTATTAACTTTAGACCGTCGTAGTGGAGATCTACAAATCAGGTTAGGATGTTCATGAGTTGTTTGAAACCAGTTAAGGTCAGATTCAAACAAATAAGTCCCAATTTAATCCTTAACTCTTATAACTGTCCTTAAACTAAATCAGGAAGCATTTCATGTAATACGGTTACATGTAGTACATTTAAATGTCTTATGAGAAGTGAGTTCTGCACAACTTCATACTACTGCGGCAAGAGAACATCTTTTCTCTCAAGATGGGAAAACAATAAAAAATGAATTATTCTCATTTCTGTGAGCACAAATCTATAACTTCAAAAGCTGCCAAAAATGTTTGTACTTCTCGATAAAAAACAAAATTACACAACCGTTTCAAATCTGCAGCATCTGGATCTCAAGTCCTCTAAGAGTCAAAGGCAACATCAATCACAGAAGATTGAAGTAATGTTCACGTATGTGGCGGGTTTTTTAATTATCCGCTTTATGCAGCAATGAAAAAAGAAAAAAAATGGAGTCCACCTTTGCGTGTCTTTTATCTTGAATTAAGCTAAATGGGGGAAGATCTGACAAGTAGCATTCTCTCCTTCAGCGACTTAATGTATTCTTCTTGATCTGTCTCATTTTAAGACATCACTTGTTTAAAGAAACGAGAAATCAAGTTGAACGTTCTTCCACCTGCGGCTGAGAGACGGACCAACACCGCCACCTAGTGACTTTTCTCATTTACTGAAACTGCACCGATAAGTTTTCAGGAAGCCTGCGGGCAGTTTCTATGGAAACGTCGGTCAGTTACCTGTGCTCCTGTCCGACTCCTGCCACCAAGAACTGCCCGGAGCTCGAAAACTTGAGACTGTTGACAAAACCGGACTGGAAGGGAGAGCAGAGGAAAGCTAAATACATACAGAACAACTGCGGCAGCCACCAGGAGTACACTGCTCTTAACAAAGTGTATAAATAACTTCTTTTTCAGAAGAGAGGAACAGATGGGGAGCTCACCACCGGTACGCTGAACAGAGGCTCCAGCCCACGATAACTCTGGCCACACTTCCACACGTTCACCTGTGAGTTGTGGGAACCTGCACAGAAGAACCATCGCTACTGAATATCACCACAAACTGCAAAACATCTCAAATACAATTTAACGAATAAGCCTCAGCTGTTATTCCTTACAATGAATAAATGCATACAAACCAACTGTAAAGGTTTAATTAATGCATCCTTAGCGTGTGTGATTAAAAAAAAGCTCGTCAAGAGGACTCTCACAGCCAGAGGCACCTGAGGCGACGGTATCCGAGTTCTGAAGCGCCGCCACCGAAGCGACCCAGTGAGGCTGCTCCAGCCCGGCGTCGCCATGGCAACCGTGAGCCTGCTTCACCGTGCTGAGAGGCTTCTTCTTGTTGACGCTCCAAAGAGACACGGAGCTGAGGTCGTCGAGGAAATTGAAGAAAGGGCAAAAAAGGAGACACATGAATGAATATGTCGGCGCAATGAAGGGGGGGGAAGAAAAAAAAAAGACTGTAAGTGACACAACATGGATGTGAAAATGGCAACTGATGTCTCACCCGTCGTCGGCTCCGGTTATCATGTGCTCCTCGTTTATGAGCTGGATGCAGTCAATCGAACCCCTGAAGGACAAACGAATGAGAAAGTTGGAGATGATGCAAGTCTTTCTGTATGTTAACTGGAACTACAGGGCATATAGATGGGGATCAGAGACAGAAGCTATTATTGTCAAAAAATACATTAAAAATTCAAGTCTGCCTTGATTTTTTTTCACCCCCAAACTGAATAAAGCATTTCGATTTCTCAACATTTAATAATTCTTTATAAGTCCTCGGCTACCACAAAAAAATAAAGTGAAGAGAAGTTAGTTATGCCTTAAAAAAAAGAAAAAAATTAAAATGAGGGTTTCCTTCTGCCATATTTTAGATAGCTCACTAAATCTATTATGAGTGCGTTTAAGATCCAACCCTTCCTCAGTCACGGCATTCTAAGCTTGTTGAATTAATGCACATGAAACATACACTACTATCTTTAGTTGTATTGTGTAATTAATCCTCTATATTCTATCACAGGCACTTGGTTTCAGTTTAACATTTTGCTGCTAGTGACCTGCAGTCACTGCTCTGTAGCTGCTGCTTAACCAACATCAGCTATGTCAAAAAAAAAACCACTCCCCTGCTCACTCTTTACCGCTCCAAGTCATTGAGGATAGAACATTTATCTCAAAACACTCTTCAAATGTTAGCAGTCTGTGCCTTTTGACTTGTTTTATTGCAATCATTTTTATTTATTTTTATTTTCTACAGCTACCAGCCACTGTACAAGCTGTCAGAGTCTAATCGTTGTCAACATCACATTTACAAAAAACTAACAGTTGATTACTTTTGAGCCATTTATTGATGTTATACATGTTAGTCTGGTTATGTCAGAGGTTTTTTTTTCCCCTGCGGGGGTTTTCGGTTCCTTCCCACTGTTGCAGACTGCTTTCGGACTGCTGAAGCTTTTATAGGGAATCCAAATGTTTTGGATTGTTGGGTGTTTCTGTCTCTGCCTTTGTTAAGCGCTATGAGATGACGTGTTGTAAATATGCGCTATACAAATAAAACTGAATTGAATTGAATAGTCATTTTGCCGTTACTCTTGTGGACTTATACAGTGCTGTTTTGGTTTTCCTGTGCAGACCAGTTATTCTAACCCTGGTGATGCTTTGGTCTGACTCTGCTTGTGTTTGTGATAATCATCCTTACTTTCTTGCTCAATATCATTTCCACAGTTTCACTTACACAGCTTTGCTCCAAGAAAAAGAACAAATAGAAAACTGTGTTTACATTGCTGCATAACTGTGCATCAACATTGGCAGTGGGTTGTTTTTTTTTTAATCTAAGGATTAAACATACCTCAGAAATGTAAAGATTTTGGACAATTTGCTCTTGTGGATTAAGTAGTTAGTTTGTAAGACTAATTAGTGTTGTCAATTAATCAGTCTCTATATGTAAAAATCAATATACTATGGAACATGTTCAAACATGCAGATCAACACATGACACTGAGGAGGAGAGAAAATATGTTAAGACTTAATTTTCATACGCGTTACTGCTGTCAAAAAAAAAAAAAAAAAGTTTATCATACAAATTGTTCCTGTTGCTTATTTGTTTTCAACACTTACACTCTAACGACTAGCAACACTTGCTTTTAACAAAACAAGTCACAAAAACAGCCTTTTTCCATCTGAAACATATCACTCGTCTCCAACCACCTCCCTCTCTGCAGCTGAAACTCTCATCCACGTCTTCATCACCTCCAGACTGGACGACTGCAATCGCCTCCTCTATGGTTTACCCTCCAGACTCCTAAAAAACACTTCAGCTTATTCAAAACTCTGCCGCCCGTCTCCTCACCTACATCTGTTCACATGATCACATCACCCCCATCCTCCAACATCTCCACTGGCTCTCTGTCAAACATCACGTTCAAGATCCTCCTCCTCACCCACAAAGCCCTCTATCATCAGGCCCCCTCCTACCTCGCAGACCTGCCCCACAGCCTTCGTTCCTCCTCTGCTCACCTCCTCGCCCCACCACCAAGGACCAAGCACCGAACCTGGGGGGACAGAGCCTTTTCTGCTGCTGCTCCCACCCTCTGGAGCTCCTTTCCTTCTCCCTTTTGACACTGCTCTGACCTCCACACATTCAAGATCATTTCTAATGTTTAACTGTTTTACTTTTTTGTGCTTGCCTTCTATACCATGCTTTTTTTTCCCAACTTGTTTTGTTCCTGTTTTAATCTTATACCCTGTTTAGCGACTTTGAGTATCTTGAAAAGCGCCATACAAAATAACTGTATTACTATTATTTAATCCTTCTTTAAAAATGTTGTACTTGTCAGCGTCTTACCGTTTTGCACCAAAACACATCAAATTCCTCGTATGTTTAAAACCTCCTGAGCAATAAAACTGACTGATGAATGAGTGTGTGCCACAGTGTTGTCACATGAATCCGACACTCGACATTAAAACATCTGAACCCCCACCGGGGCGAACAGGCTGGACACAGAAGCCCAGGCCACAGGCGTACAAGGACACTCACTCGTGGCCGTGAAACACCAGCTGAGACTCCTCGGCGATCTTCCACACTCTCACGGTGCGATCTCGTCCCCCCGCGGTCACACAGCGCTCACGGCTCAGGCAGTCCAGTCCTGTGATAGCGTCCTGGTGGCCAAAGCTAGACAGGTTCAAAAGCACGGTTAAATCCAAAAATTAAAAAACAAATGAAAATGTTTGGTTAGCGAGAGATGATTTGTTACTCACAGAGTTTCCACGTATGCGTTCTCATCCACATTCCACACCTTGACGGAGCGGTCATGTGAGGCGCTGTACAGATCATGAGTTCCCTTCCTGAATGAAAGACCCTTAGAAGGAAAGAGAATCTTATATTACTCACAAGACTAAACTCTGCACAGATATTAAACAGCACAAGCTGTATCCAACTATGAGAAACAGAATGAGACCATACCGACACAGGGCCTTTGTGTCCCGTGAATTTATACAGATGTTTACACGTGTCCGCCTCCCAGATCATGATCAGTTTGTTCATGTCTCCGGTGGCCTGAAAAGATATAAAGACTCTCCTGTTATGCTTTAATGTCACACTCACATAACAAGCAGGTTACCCAAAACTAGCAAAAGCAGTAATTTCTGGGGGGACTTACCAAGTATTTTCCATCTGAGGATATGGCCATACACAGGATGTGTGCTGTGTGTCCTACATGGCGTTCCTCTGTACCTTTCCTTCCACCGGGTATTGTGTGCAGTTTCTTACCACTCCCAACATCCCCTGAAGATTTAAAATAAATACAAATGAGATACAGGGTTTTCTGAAAACAATTGAAACGATGGCTTCAGAGGATTTCATTCATACTAACATTTAATGATGGAGCAGTCTTTGGCAGCAGAGAAGATGCACTTGTCATCAGGTGTGATGACCAGACAGGTAATGGGAAGTTTGTGTCCTCTTAACACCCTGATCTCTGAAGCATCCGGTGGTATGAGCTGAATGACAGCGACAAAATTAAATAAAAGTAAATCAGCAGCTTTTTCCAAAAGTAAACAGGCAGCAGAACTGAAGGGGAAAAGTTCTCATACTCACATCTTTGGCAATAAGTCGCTGGAGCTTTCCTTTCTGTTCAAGCTGAGGGGGAGAAAAAAATTAAAAATTAAAAAATTACAGAAAGTACAGTAAATTAGCTCCTCTAATAAATCCACAATATAAAACATAATGTCTGATTGGGGGATACTAGCAGGCAAACACCGCAAAAATGCGGGATACTGTGAGAATGTAAACAGTGCGTGTATCAGCAGTTCTTGTGCAAGTTTAGTGTTGATTGTAAATTGAATTAAAGGGTTTTTCTTTTTGCCAGAAAAAAAAAAAAAAAACATGCACAAAGTTCTAGCTGCTGTTTATATAACATGTGGCTAATGTGTCACTGCAACCCAATGAGCATATCAACATTTTTCACCGAGTCAGAGGTTCAATAATCCGTAGAGGACGGTGTGAACCTACAGTGGGGCTGAACTACACTGTGCATGAAGGTAGATCAGTACGAAGCAACACAAAGGGAGGAAGACGTATTAGGTCCTAAATCCTCAGCGGTGACACTGCTTACCACTTCTTCTTGAAGTCTTCCCGCAATCAGATCTGTCTCAAAGGAGTCTTCTTCTGCTTTCTGTTCCTCTGATGAGAAAAGGTCCACAGTTAATACCAGAAAGCACCGACCGCAATGTTAGACCTGCATGTTTTGTAGTTAACACATGTTTACCTTCATCCTTGAGCTGTTCAAGGTAAAGCTTGGCTAATCTAAGTTTCTTCTCCTGTGGCGTTTCATCATATTCATGGCTCTCATTGGACTGCTTTTTCTTGGTCAAGGCAGGACTGAGAAAGGAAACACAGCAAATCCAGAAATGTCAGATCTCTGCCTTCATTGTAAGGCAGCATCTTACCAATGCACAACCTCGAATGATCACATTAAAAGCGCACCTCTCTGTCTCAGACTCGCTGGAAATCTCTTCGTTGTATTTGCTGGCTTTCTTCGCTCGTACTTTACTCTTTCCTGCTGAATCTCCATCAACCTGCAACAGCGGAAAGAGGAGACGACACGTTAGAGTCAGTGCTGCCAAGAAGGTTTTCAGCTCCACTTTTGGTGCAAAACAGTAAATACTGGCGAGGTGCGCATTTACAGAAGCAGGACATACTTTAAGGCAGTGGGTCTTACAAGTCCAATAAAATAAACAATGTCTTCCAGAAGCTTTAATTAGTGTCTAAAGCAGCAGCAGGTCAGTTCAGGTGAGCAGCATGAGCCCAACCTGCCGGTTAGCTAATGCTACATGCTAACACTTCTATTCGCTTACCTTACGTTTCGTCGCCGCTACGTTTTTCCCCTTTTTCGCTAACTTGGGGTTTTCTTTCCCCTTCATGAAAAATGACGAAGACATGGCGAAACGTGACAAGCAGCGTTTCAACGCAGACAACAACTACAAGTCGCGTTAACTCTCCAACTTTCTCGAGTCAACATTGAACCCACATGGGTGGACTGCAACCAAACTAGGAAGTTCAAGTAGGAGGCTGAGCGCTCGCTGATTGGCTGCTTCCACGTTCTCTTCAGAATGTCCCGCCTTCTCCCACAACGCTGGATTCTCATTGGCTGAATCGACACCTCAGATGAACAGGAAGCTGTACTGGGAAGAAATACTTCCCTCGGGGAATAAGTTTTCGCAGCTTTGTTCCGCACATAACTGCAAAAATATGCATTTCACAGCTCAATACTCGTATTTACATGAGAGACACACACAGTGAAAGACAAATATAGTGGCAGTATTTCACACGTATTTAGTCGGTGACCTGCTACGCGGCTGTTGAAATATAGCCGTAATCATATCAGGATCTATGTACTGTACTACTGCAGTAGTACTACTGCTTCCTCTACTACGCAGTATTTCCATGTACTGCGCTGTCTTTGTCCTCAGTGGCTGTGTTTACACTTTATCGTTGGAGTCAGCCTGAGCGGCCAGGTGAGGCTCCTCTATACGTCTAATGCGAGATATCACCTGTATTTGATCATGTATAGCCATAGTGGCACTGAGTGGCTCCAGCTGGAGGCTAGTAGGAGGGGTTGGGGAGGCAGGGGGAGGGGGAAGAGGCTGCATTGGAAACTAAACAACCATGTAATTTCCTGCTGCATGAATGAGTTTAAAAACGAGCAGACAATCGTCGCTGAGAGACTGAAGGGGAGAAAAAAAAAGTTTGGCTCCCAGTTTGACTCCATCCTGTGCAGAAAAGCAATGCTTGACGTGTCAACGGGTCAATCTTCTACTCTTCCCAGATTTCCTCCCCCACCCTGCTCGCTATGCCACCCAAGAGAGACGCAGGAGCAACTTCAGCACAACCCCCAGTGAAGATGGTGAAGATCGGCAACGTTGCAGATGCGCCGGATTTTGGCTGCGATCCAATGGAGGAGAAGTACAGGCTGGCCGACGAGAGCGGATACTCACCTTTCCCCAACAACGAGGTGAGAAGCTCAACTCTTCCAGCTGTGCACCAAAGCATGCCATGTGTGCTGGTCGGTTCATGGGGTCTCTTCTCGTTTGGCAGCCCGAGACCATCGACTTTGATGAGGAAAACATTGCCAGTCCAGGCATCAGGACAGACACCATCAGCCTCCTCATGAAGATAGAGCAACTGCAGGCACAACTGAAGTATGAGCGCAGGTGTAGAATTTTGGCAGAGAGAGAGCTGAGGGAACTCAAAGGTAGGTGGAAGGATGTCTCATTCATTCACTCATATCCTTAAAAAGTGCCTGTCTGGACCACAGACCCTGTCTGCAATTTAGGTCATGACCTCTGTCGTATTTTCACAAACCTGCTGGGTTTAATGTGCAAAGAGGATTTTACATTCTATGATTATGTGCACAGTAGACATGGACAAGCTTAACATCTGACTCACACAACAATTAATACATTAAAATTAATGCTTTACGAGGCCATAGATTGAATTTCCCTTCTGGGATAAATAAAGTATTTTTCATTTCATTTCATTTCATTTCATAGCATCTGAATAATTTGTGAATAAAAAATAGTTCCAAGAAAAATGTCTGTATTTGATAATATTTAGGAAGTAGAGTTTGTTTATTTGTTCGTTCAAATTCCAGTTTAATAGTTACATGGCTACTGCATGCAGTCTGTGTATAGCAGGTCAGCTTAAACTGAAAAAATGTGTCATGTGTCTAGCGGCGCATTCAGTTTATTACACCTGAATAATCAAGTCTCTGGTAACTAATTAACATTTGTCTGGGCTTAAAATATGTTTTTCCCCCCGAGGATGTTTGCCATTTTCATTCTAATTATTACCAAATTAAATCACACAATAAAAGTTTTAAATACAAATTCAATTAACAATACTAGTTTAAACACACGGGATGTCATAGCTGCCACAAAACTTGGATACTTGTAAAGCAAGGTAGAGAAGGATATACCATTTAATCCATTATGAAATGAGATTGATAAAATGTGAAATTGGTTACTGTCTAGCCAAACATTTTTGGAGCGTATGAGGCTTTATGAGGGGAAGTTTGGATTCATTGTGTCCCTGAACATAAACTGTACACATGCCATCAAAGTCACTTTCTGAATACACGTGCTCTGTCTCTATTCAGCTTCAGTGATCTGACACTTTTTGCAGAGATGAACACCCTCATGATGCAGATGAGGCACACCGCCCATGAACTCCGAGTCACTCTGGATCACGTCCTCCAAGGAGGCGAGGCAGCAGTCGCGCCAGAAAACTCTGATGAAACCATCTCCTTCCTGACCGAGCCTGAGGCCGAGATGAGAGCGGTTCACAACATACCAGAGGTCAGCGCTCCCGTGTGCTGCGTTACTCCACGTCTGCTCATAACCGTACAGCTGTGGGCAGGTTGCTCAGCTCATTTGCAGTTTGTTAACGTAGGAGAACTCGTTGTATGTCAGTCCTGCTGTTAGATTGTCATGGTTTTCACCAGTCGTAGACAACTTTATTCAAACGGTTTTGGAACTAACACTTTTCTCTCTTTGCTCTCAGGATGATCACAGCTTCCTTTATATCTCTGAGAATCTTCGAGTGCCAAAAAGTCTTTATGAGCGCATTGCCGAAATCGCAGACTACAAAAAGTACACTTCAGCACTGCTGATGATGCTGTTTGACAGAGAAACTCTGGCCACGCACTCCCTGCAGGGCCGGAGGAACACCTTCACAGGAGAGGACAGCCACAAGCCTCAGCTCCCTCCTGAGATTTTGAAAAGTATAATTGGTAAGATATAGAAGATTGAGGCACACAGACCTAATTTATATCTCCTAATCTTTTTTATGAGATTTCATGATGTTGTTTTTCTTCCTCCAGATCACGTCGCAGTCAAGTTCGGTGTCGACTGCAGCCAGATTAAAACCGCAATCCGCACAAAGTTAAATAACGAGGACAAATTATTGAAGAAGAGACTGGGGTTGGTTAAAACCGAAAACAAAGCGATTATCGACCAGGGCTTTTGCCAAGATGCTTCGCTTCTGCCCGAAAACGGAGCGATGACAAACGACCTGCCTGAAAACGGAGTCCTGACGAATGACTCCCAGTTATAGCCTTCACAGTCTGCCTTCATCTGTCGGCCACCGGTACTTCACGTCTGATAGAAATGTGTGACGAGTTGCCTTTTTAAAAACCCACATCTAGTTTATTCACCATTGAAATCTAGTGCTCTAAGTGTTTAACACTATTTTAGAATTCTATTTTTTTTACTTTCACTGTTGTCTGTCGTAGGTTGGAAACGTGTAACCTGGTTCAGTAGCTCTATAAAATGTACTTTTCAGTGGTTAAAAACAAAAAAAAAGTGTTTATTATTTAAGTTTCGTTATCGTGTTTGAGACAATCTGTGGTTGTATCTTGACAGGTGTGTGAAAATGTCCAGCATTTCTACTTTCAGTCAGCTGACCTTTGTATGTGTACGTAGGACATTTGAAAACGTGATGGTATCATAGGTTTGTACTCTGCTGTTACTGACAAACTGTGCTTTCCACCAGACTGTGTTTCTAGATTTGCCGTTTTAAAACATGCTGTAACTCTTCCTTCCTCCACGACATCCGTTTATCTTGTCTTTGTTGTGCTTCACCATGTAAGGGCCAATAAACATTTGGAGCTGATACTCTTCTGTTTGTCTTCATTTGGACTTTTTCTTACATGAACACAGCATAGCACAGCATGGAACAACATTTTATTTTCCCAACAGCCAACAGATGTCAGTGCTGAGCCTCATTTCATGCAACATTGATCCACAACCACAAGTGTTTGAATAGAAAAAAACAAAACAGAAAACTCAGTTTAAATGAGAAAACACTGTGTGAATGAACTGAACAAATCCAACCGACATCTCACTGTCTTCATTCCCTCGGCAGCCAGAGAACAGAGGAGCATGTGTGACACCAAGCACATGGACAGTGTGTGACAGTCACCGCCACATACTGACTGATGAAAGAGTGTGTGTGTGTGGGACATGCTTAATGTCAGTGGGTGGTGGTTTGATGCAGTCATCTTCCCTTGAAAGATGTGATTTGAACAAGCAGCTAGTGCCGGCCGGCCGGCTCCTCCCCCTCCTTTCCCTGAAGCGAGCTGTGCTGTCAGTGGATTTGCAGCACATCACCTCTCTCTCTGGTGCTACCAGCCCTCCCTGGGGTCCTCTTCAAGGCTCTAAAGATTCTTTCTTTTGGGGAGAAATCTGCTGCTTTAATCAAAAGTTGCAACGCAGCAGGATAGTTTCTGATAGAACTCTGAAAAGTGGACCAACACTTTCTTTCACCTGGAAGCGAACACCTCAGCAGTGATGGTTTTCAAGGTTTCAGAGACAAGTCGTCGCCATGCTTCGGGAGAATTCAACTTCACAAGAACTCTTTGAAGGACCTGCAGACAGTTTTCATAATGTAAGAGTTCCTTGATAAGTTTTTGCGTGAGTATAATTATACAACCTAACTTTGGTAACTATGAAGTTGATTTTAGGGCATTTAAAAAAATTGGTGAATTTGTTAAAAACACAACATATCCTGAAGTGTTTTTAATGTAATCACATCAGTTTCCTGCAGAATTTCTATTTATTTTCCTATAATTTCTCTGTCATATCTGTCTGATGTTGACATCAAAAGAAGCAAAGGGGCCTGAAAAATGACTAAATGGTTTCACCACCATGCTGAGGTACATTTGTCTAAAGGTTTTGTCAAAAGATGGATTGTTTCAAAATTTCTGCTCAGTGTTACATATGATGCTAACATTTATGCAACCAGTGAAGACAGGACCAGATGATGCCACAGCATGTAGTCGAGCAGTGCAGAATTATTCCTTTAAAAATATAATGTAAGCATATTATAGTGACCTTCATGTGGTGAGACGGCTACAACAGACTGTCCATTTGTTTGTGACAAACAGGAGTCATTTCATAAACTTCATCACCTATAAATAAAGTCCTGGTAAACCTACAAGCTGCTGAAATTTCAAGAGTTGATGATGTTTTACATTTGAGCTTGTTTTAAGCATTTTAGCCCCGATCAGACTTTGATGGATGTTTTTGTTTTTGCATCTTGTTTTTTTGTTGTTCTGGCTGGGACCTGGAGTTAGTGTCATTCGTATTTGTTGTTGATGTTCATTTTCATTTTTTGTTTTTATTTTGATCTTTTAATTTTTTTTTTTTTTGATGTTTTTTTTTTTTTTTAGCTCTTTAATGCTCGATACTTCTCATATAATAGAGGATAATTGCTTATTAACTCGATTAGGACACAAAGGGTGGCATTAAGGAGCTTCCCTGTTGTTCCCTGCTGATATTCAATGTCAAGTGTTTAGTTGGGATTATGAGGCCTGTGTAATTCCCTGATCCCCATAAGAAGGTAGAGAAAGCCCCCCAGCCTGTTAGGAATGATTGCTTTCTGTTTAAAGGAAGTACCCACAGATGAACGAGGCAAAATCCAATGCATGTTTTAAAGAAGGTTTTAAAGAACTAAATAAAATGATCAACCGGCTCTGAAGCGAACTTGAAGGAAGCAGCACATGCAAGATGATGAAAACGAGGACACCCTTACGTAATATGTATGAGAATGTACATGCAGCAGTCCTTCCTCGGGATAAACCTCAGCACAAATGTGACATGCCAATAGCTGTCCACCAGAGAAGATTACAGCAGCGCAGAGCATCAGTGGATCACTGGCAGAGAGCAGGCTCATGTATTTAGGACACGGCATCCTCCACAGTCACATATTTGAAACCTGATTATGATCGACAGCACAGGATGGATAGATGTGTAGAAGGAGACACATTTATGACAATACAGATGTGATAAACAAGAGTGAAAGCATTTATGTTAAAATTCTGTTTTCCTATAATGTACATCTAAATGATCCGGCCATGTGGGGTCTGACCTGCTCTGCTTAGAGGTTTTCTCTTTGATGGAACGGTGAAGGGTGACACTGAACACATACTAATCAATGCAGCCAGTTCCCTGCAGCTGGGCTAAAACAAGCACACTCATTATCTTTCATTTCTAAAGGATGGAGATGGATGGAGGAGACACAGGGTGTCCTCCATGAATTATTCCTATTGATCATGTTCCTCCCTCACCAAAGAGAGAAAGAGAGAGAGAGAGGGAGAGAGGGAGAGAGAGAGTCCCTTCTTAAATATTCACACAAATATTGTGAACAGTTATTGATCTGCTTGTGTGTGTTGTCTTGAAGGTTACGACAGTGCAGCGGGTATCCCTGGGTGTTTGCATTTATATCAGTGGCTGTTGATAGGATGAATAATGTCACAGACAATTAAGACTTATTCAGTTTAAACTCATATGAATACATCAATGACCGTTCTGTTGCTCTGGATGACCTTTGACAATCCTCACGACATGACACATGAGCTTTCATATTTATCTCTATTTTAGAAACTGATCTTACTCGTTGTGATTCTTATTTGCCTGTTTTAGTGTTTAGTAAAGTTTTATTTTGTTTCACTGACTGATAGTATATCTCTTGACATTTGCACATGATTTTTTGCTGCCTATCTGATAGCATGTACAGCACTTTGGTTGACTCAGGTTGTTGTTGAATGTGCTACATAAATAAATCTCACAGACCACACATTTATAACAGAATCCCTGTGTTACAAACTGGGGGTTTAGCAGGTAGGGACGTGTAAAAAGCAGCTCCTTAAGCACTGACAAGGGTAACTTTGAGCATCGGTCGTATAATCCATAATATAAAAGCATAATGCACGCTCTGTATTCTCTTCTACAGTGTCTTAAAAGCTGCTACGATCAATATATTCATATTAACAACAGGTCACTTCTTATTGAAGAACCTGCAGAGAAGCATTTCAACTCTCCAGAGCTTTATGCTGATTTTCAGCTCACTGTTTTGCAGCAACTTTTCTATTACGGTTCACCCTCATCGATGTGATTTGTTGTTTCTAGCAGCTCTTTATCCATCCTGAATGTCAGACAGAAACTATCTGGTATCATAGTGGATCACTTAAAACAATCAGTTAATGCAAGTTTACAGATGTAATTAAGTTTAAATTGAATATAATGTGCCATTAATATCTTTTGTAATTGGCTTCATTTTCTCTTTACAGGAGTGAAGACTTTGTCTGAAGAATCAGTCGGCCTCAGCACTGAATAATGGGGGAGGCTGGAATACCGATTTGTACTTTGAAACCTTTATTATGAATCATGGAGGAAAACAGTACATTTCTGACTGCTGAGTACAATGACAGCACCACTGTTTGGGCACCGATGCCCTCTGCTCCCAGCAGACAGCTGGGCACGCTCCCTAACCCACAGACTCGCTTCAAGGACCTGACAGGGATATTTTTCATGGTGACCCTGAATGTTCTGGCACTTCTGGCCAACACTGCTGTTCTGGTGGTTGTTATAAAAGCCCCTCATCTCAGGAAATTCGCCTTTGTTTGCCACCTTTGCGCAGTGGACCTGCTGTGTGCCATCCTGCTCATGCCTCTGGGCATCGTGTCCAGCTCTCCGTACTTCGCCGGAGTCGTGTTCACTGTGCTGGAGTGCCAGGTCTACATCTTCCTCAACGTAATCCTCATCGCTGCCTCTATCTTCACCATCACAGCCATCAGCGTGGAGCGGTATTACTACATTGTTCACCCCATGCGCTATGAGGTCAAGATGACTCTGAAGCTGACTGCAGCGGTGATGGTGATGGTGTGGGTGGCGTCTGCCGTGCTGGGGTTGTCCACTGTGTTCGGATGGCCGTCTTATGGCAGCCTGAGCTCCATCAGTGCCGCACACTGCTCGCTGCACTGGAGCCACAGTGACCACAGGCGTATCTTCTCGGTGCTCTTCAGCGTCACCTGCTTCTGTCTGCCTGCTGTGGTGATTTTTGCCGTCTACTGCAATGTGTACAAGGTGGCCCGCGTGGCTGCCCGGCAGCACGGACCTCTGCCGTCCTGGACCAACAGTCAGCTGAAACATCGGTCCGACTCCATAAACAGCCAGACTACCATCATCACAACTCGTAACGCACCTCGCAGGATTGTGCGTGACCGGCCTTTTGGAGGTGGTAAAGCTGCTCTCACTCTGGTGGTTATCGTTGGCCAGTTTCTCGTCTGCTGGCTGCCTTACTTTGCCTTCCACCTCCATTTGACAGTAGATGTAACAGGCCAGATCCCTGATGACCTGGGGGAGGCGGTCACCTGGCTGGCATACTCCTCCTTCGCTATGAACCCATTTTTCTATGGGCTTCTGAACCGGCAGATCAGGGAGGAGCTGTGTAAGCTGAGACGCTGCTACTCAGCTCGACCGATGGAGCTGGCCGTCTCCAGCCACGAGGGCTCAGGCCACGAGAACTTCATGCAGTTTCTCCACAGGACCAGCTGCACTTTAGAGACACGTGCAAGCTTTGCTGCATCCAGTCCGAGAAGCACTTTGGATCAAAGTGGGCAGCCTGGTTTCAGGATACCGGGACAGATCCCAGAAGAGTTCACTTAGATATACCTCACTGTAGTGCCACAGTATTAGTAACCTGCTGGATGAAATACGTGGCTGAGTAGGGCATAACATTACTTAAAGACTGTCGGCAATATGTCAGAAACCATATCTGCATACAGTAAACACTCTAATCGTCTTTGAAACTTGATATATTTTTAGTTTTAGCTAAAGAGTCAGAAAAATACTGAAGCAGAAAGCTAACAGACTTAGTTTCTTTAAATGGTTGTTACTGTATTTGTTAAAGCTAGCAGTGGTGCAGCTAATGAGGAACACTGTTTTACTACCTATTAGGTAATGTTACTGAAATCAGTAGGTCTATTATAAGTCATGAACACAAATATCACATTTGTACTTGAAAAGTAACGGTAGCATAATCAGTCAGCAGATCCACTGATATCTGAGAAAGGAGGGATTTAAAGATCCGCTGATAATAAGAGTGAGCAGTCATTCAGTTTGACAATATTCCACAATTCTGAATGCTACTTGTTTTTATATAAAGCGAGAATATAGCAGCAATACTCTTTGTATCACACAATCAGATGTCGTCATGTTGTGTTATGTTGCAGGAATTCGTTATTTATTGTAAACAATGAGGAGTCACATGACTTTTTGTTCAACATTTGTTATTTCTTATTAATGTTAACGTGAAAATAAACATGAATCATTGTAGGTACGTATTTATTTCTATTGTATGTCACCAGCAAGCAATGTACAAGGTTCACACTGCACATTTTCTTAGTTCACTGGTCTATGAGACAGATTTGTCTGGGCAAGAAAGTTCAAGAGCTACATGAATGGCCAGACAGTCATAGAAATGAGGCTTCTTCAGTCATTTTCTGTATTCTGCAAGCAGAAAATGTTCTGTTGCTGCTCTCAGCTTAGCTATAATCACTAATTTGAAGGGACAGCCTCTGAAAGAGGCAGCAGGCTGCTCGGCTGTCCCGTAGCCACCAGATCTACAGCCAGCCGCGCCATTAAAGCTCCGTCACGTGTCAAAGTATCCTTGAGCTCTGTCACTGTACGTTGCCTTGGATGACCGTGCCAGCTAACATGAAAAAAAAAGAAAAAAAACAACAACAAAAAATTTAATTCCCGTCTCTCTGTAAAAACCAAACTGACGCTCGGCAGTGATAACGTTCCTGCATGTGTGTGTTCTCAGTTGTGCAGACGAGCTTTGACTCTGTGGGTCCTGACCTCCATGTCCTCCATGTGTCCACTTATGAAAAGCCTGTGACTAAGACTGAGCCCAGTTAACACATGATTATATAAGGAGAAAATGCCATTTCATAACAGCTGCGGGGTTGTTTCTAATACCTTGGTAATATGTGGACACAGACAGATTAGCAGCAAAGAATATATATTTCCATACATTTACCGATGAATACGACTGACTAACCAAATACATGCAGACATAAATACAGTTTGTTCTTTGTAATCTGGGTTAATGATTTATGTTCTGCACGGATTAAATTAATGGAGATGATATATTGCTCATGTTTCTGTGGTGATATTTTATGGGACTGTGCAGCTCTCCCACACTGATCAGACTTAAGGGATGACATTGGACAGACATGCAAGTGACGAATGAAAAGCTAAATTTGTACACTATCCAGAGATACAAACATAAATCAGTTAAAATAAAAAATTGATTAGATAGAGAGCAGCATAGAAACAACCTCTGCGTTATAGTCTGATGGCACTGATGCTCCTTGACACTTGTGAAGATGGAAATCGCAGAATGAAGAATGACAGCTGACAGACAAGAAGGAAGACGTCCAATACACACACACACATATATACACACACAGTAAGTGAAATCCAATTTATAGACATCTGGATATGTTAAAAGCAAGATAACACCGTGCCACTTTATGGTCTCTGGCTGTAAACACATTCCCGAAAGTGCTGCGGAGGATCAGCGCAACTCTGATAACAGCCAAGTATTGTCAGCAGAGCCGCCGTGATAAAAGAACAAGCAGGAACGCACATTAACGGTGAGCAAATATGACATGATACTTGAATAGAGGTTTGCTGAGAGAGACGCTGTACAACTACACAGAGCAGAGAAGTTTATCTCTCCTACACAAACACATGTAAAGTACTGGTATTAGAGTAGATTATTATCAAATTAGGTTTAAAGTAGGTTGAGGATGGGTGGCTAGCACTGTTGCCTCGCAGCTAGAAGGTCACCGGTTCACATCCCAGTGAGGACACCTGGGATCTTTATGCGTGGGGTCTCCATGTTCTCCTCGTGCAGCATGGGTTCTCTCCGGGTTCTTCAGCTTCGTCACACAGTCCAGAAACATGTTGAAGTTAATTGGTGATTCTAAATTGTCCGTAGGTGTGAATGTGAGTGTGCTAACCCGCGACCCTCGTGAGGATTAAGTGGTGTATTGATGATGGATGAATAGGTTGAGGATGCTTCAAAAAAAAATATTGCCATGAATATTCTGTATTCCTCAAACTAAGTTAATCGCAAAGTTGTGTCAACAGAAACCACTCTAATGAAACCATCTGCTGCAGGAATCCTTCTTCTCTCTGGAGACAGGTCTTCGTGATGGGGATCACTGACACGCTGCAGAGTTTAAACTGATGCCTTCCTGATGCTTGACGGATAAACATCTAATCAAGCGAAGATCTTATCAAGAGTTCTGCATGTCATCATTCAATCAAGACATACACTTTTTAAAAAAAAGGATCATAGAGGTCATGTTTCCTTCACCCTTCAATAAATGTGAATGTGTCTGGTCTGATGTTTCAGATGTTGAGATGCACAAGACCTTGATGCATTGGAGAGATACAAACATGGCGTTCAGCTTAAATGTGTCACTCAAACTGCTTCAACGGGTGGTTAAAAAATACATCAGACCATCAGCTAGCATGAAATAAGGCGATTTTTTCCACTCTTGAAGGAAGGTTATTAGGACCCTGTAATGAAAATACAGGAATTTTTTTGTGTTCTGAAACGATACTCATTTAATTCATCAACTTACTGTGTGTGTTTTTTCACTAACATACACTTTACGTAAAAGATAACATTAAAAGGAGGGGGTTCAGTCGATAAAAAACAAAGTTCAAAGATCTGACTGGCTGTTTCATCACCCCGCTTCCAGAACGCGTGACTCGCTTTAATGAATAATTGAGCAACAGGGGTCTTTATAAGTTGCTAATTAAGGTGAAGGACCTCCTACTTCAGTGACATCTTTTATGAAATCAAGACAATCGCATCGACTGTCCGCCTCCTTCGCAAAGCACGTTCACTGTAGATCAAACACGAGCTCGCTCTCTATGGAAAATGAGAATTCATGACTCATTTGAGTGCGGTTTGTTATTTAGTTGTTGGTAAATCTGCTAAAAAGGCCTAATGCTCTTCTGGCTGCTGGACCGCGTGCTGTCGGTTTGCTTTAAACCCGATGGCCTGCTCTGCACTGACTGATGAATGATGCAGGGACGTAATAATGAGACAGCCACTCCTGAAGAATCAAAGGGAGAAGGTATGATTGATGGCGCTGTCTGAAGGAGTGATATTTCCTCAGACCTTCTGCTCAAACGGTAACAGCTCGAGGATGTACACATTGAACACGACAGCCGTTCGGCCATTGTTCACCGAGCTCAAGCAGCGTAACCTCGTGTCCAGAGCACTCAGGTTCCAAACTAATTATGGGCCGGGACGAGAGACAAGTGTGCAAGATTATTCTCATTCTTGCAGTTGCAGACTCTCGTGTCTGTGTTGTAAATACGCGGCTACAATCAGTTGATTAGCTGAGGTCATTCTAAAGCCTGGAAAAGGAGAAACAGATAGCTTGGCTCTGTCTGAAGGTCTGCCTGTTAGCACCTTCGTTGTGCATGATGATGGTTTGTTATGCAAAGCTCAAAGTGCAAAAATGTAAAAATGTGGTTTTACAGGCTATATATAGTGTCTAAATGGGAAAAAAAACAGCTTAAAGTGTCTTCTGTAACAGCTTCAGTGCTCCTTGGCATTAATTCTCCAAGTTTGTGCAACTCTGCAGGAAGGACAGATCCAACAGATGTTTCCTCATTTGGTGTTTTGAGGACGGCAATGGCAAACTCATAGATCAATAAATTTCTCGCAGCTGTTCATTTGAGTTGACATCTGGTGACTGCAAAGAATATTTTATTTTATTTCTAAATGACAGGGCACAGTTAAAAGTAATGGCCCCAGAGTTAGCGAGCAGCTAATCTGCATCTGTTGCTCCTGAGCACAAACAGCAACCGCAGAACAAAAAGCGCACAAATAAATCAGCACAATATGTAAAAGTCAATCAGTGTGAGTCAACAAACAGGATTAGTAAATACAATAAATAAAAGGCAGACACTGGTGGTGACAATTTTGTGCGAACTTCAGCCAAACCTTGAGGCTGGTTTTAAACACTTCCTGAATCTCTTCCACTTCCCCACAGCTTTGACTGAGAAAGCAGACTGTCTTTCCTAACTGTGGTGCCCAATTAATGGTATTAAATGCTCTATTTGCGCTCCCACCGCCTGCATAGATTCATTTTTATTAAACCATTAAGTGAACCCTCGTGCCCTGTGGATAACGGCATTGTCATCTTGCATAGAAATGCTTCATCAGAGGATAAAGGTGACTTTCACTCAGAGCAACCTTTTATTGATTTGCAGCGATTCTCGTCTTTAAGTGGACAAATGGATGCAGGTTCAACAGCAAAATGCACAACACAGCCACCAGATGCCCTCACAGCAGGGTCAAGAGTGTAGGTCTTCCCTTTAATTTGTCACCTGTGTGTATGTCATATGCACTGTGAGGACGAGAAAATGACTGAGAAATATCCAACCCAACATATTCAACGCCAATAAAAAATGTTCAGATGATATTTTCAGTCACATTGTATGTATAAGTGAATTTTTAGCTGTAAGTTTATTTCGTAATAGTTTTGGTTTTATGGATTTGAAGCGACAACATCTTAGTAAAAAAGGAAAAAGTCTTGCAAAGTGGCACATGCCAACAAATTCTATAAATTCTTATCATTTATTTAGATAATCCTACTTAGGGATCAAATCAAATCAAAATCAAATCAAGTTTATTTTCATTTTACTGCAGTCGTAGTACAAACAAGATGAGAGAGCGTTTCTTCGGGATCCAATATCCTAAAGCAATTTAAATAAAGAAGTGTTTGCATGTCTGGATCAGCAGTTCAGCATTCTGACAGCTTGTGGCATGAAGCTGCTGATCCTTCTGGAGGTTCTTCCTTTAATGCTCCGGAAACGTTTCCCTGATGGCAGCAGTTCCAACAGTTCATGGAGAGGGTGTGAGGAGTCCCAGACAATGTTCAGAGTCCTGCTCCTGCAGCAGCTCTGGAGAAGTTCTTGGACAGAGGTGAGGGAAACTCCGATGCCCCTCTCAGCTCCTCTGACTATCCTCTGCAGGGCTTTTCTGTCTGACAGACTGGAGCTGGAGCACCATGCTGAGATGCAGGATGTCAGAACGCTCTCCACCACACCTCTGTAGAAAGTCCAGCAACTACAGCAACATTGCTTCATTGACAGGAAGTCCTCAGTCTGGCCCGAGGTGGAGGATTAGCAGCCACATGCTTATTACTCACGGAGCAAATACTGTCACAAATAATCACAGTGAATTCAGTGTCGACCATTTAGCTGTTAAAGTCTTGCAATGGTCAGTTTTTTTCTTTTCTATGTGAGATTAAAACTGTATTGGATGGTCCCAGGATTTCACATTTCATCTGAGCTGTTTGTAAGTATATCTCACTTAAGCTGATTCATGCTGCAGGAAGCACCGACAGCGGTTACTGCACCGTCAACTGGACGTAATAAATAGCCAGTCTGACCTATTGTACCGCAAACAGCTGGACTGGCAGGTGCCGAGCAGGAACACTGTCTGACATCCCTCATGCCCCACATAAGCAGCTGCTGCTGGTGACAGAGAGTCTGCGCTTCAGCTGGAGTTGAATCATTTCTAAAACAATGCAACACTTATGTCAAACAAAGCATTCAGACACCTCTGCACATCATCACTGCATGTGTGTGTTCTCTGAACTAAACACCATACAGATTTTTATGCAGGATTATTTTCCCCGTTGTGAGGTCATGCGGGGACACGAGGAATTTGAGAAGTTCGAGTGCGCTGAAGGCCCTGAAAACCTATTTTCTCAAACAGCTCCCTCCGATTGCGTCCTACTTGAACACAGATTTGTGTCACAGCAAAACGCTTTGTCTGTGCTTTTCATGCTCGTCTGAAGTGGGCGGATGTGAGATAGAAAAAGAGGATTTCACATAATTCCAATCCACCAACTCGGATTTAGCGATATTTGAATCAGAATATTGTTGCCCTGCTGTTTGCTTAAATTGCTCCGCCTGAATCAAACAAATCTGATCAAACCACACAGTCCAAGTGAAACAGATTAGTCAAACTCTTCATAAATGATATATATTTTTTTACCCCCAGGATGTGATTGTTGCCCATCAAAGGGTGGCTGTGAGAAACATTTGTGACTTACAGAATTTAAAATACACATTAAAGCTGTTATATAAAGAGCCTGAATCTTTGAATGGAGAATACATCAAAGCATGAATACATTATTTTCAAGTTTTTAAAACACATATTGCAATAAATGTGATCAAATCTTCAAATGTATTCAGACCCTTCCATTAAAGAAAACGCAAAAATCACAAAAGTCACTCAAATAATTAGAAATGGAAAAAAGTAATAATAAATAAAAATTTGCTAAATTATAATTTGGTGAAATAAGATGTTGCCTTTGAATTGAGGTTGAAAAGAATAATTTAAAAAAACAAAATAGTCCCGGACAAACTAGAGCACTTTGCTGATGAGCAGTGGGCATTTGAGGACGACTGTACTTGTTTGTTATTTTCACTTCCCTCCAACTTCTTACATCTTCTATCTTCCAATCCTCTGAAGTTTGTGACTCAGAGTCGTCCTGTTCTCTAAACCAGGACATGTGTTTTACTTTTTCTTCTCCCTCCTGCTTCCGTCTCTCTCTCTCTCTGTTATTCACACAAACACTCACTGTCTGCTGACCTCACCTGTGCCGCCGGAAACAAATAAAGCCCATCTGGTGAGGTGTGCGGTCCATTAGCATGCCATCGTCTCCTGCCGCCCGACACAGGAAATTCTTTGTCATGAATACACCATGTTCTCAGAAATGACCGTTGCCATGGAGACCGGCCAAGCACTTATCCTCGACTCTGAGCAGATGCACAGGTTTGGTGCGCGCCTGGTAGCAGGTTGCTGCACGCTATATGCAGTATTTGTGTAGAAAACACTTCAGTCCTGTTTGCTCATCCCAGCACTTTCCCTGCAGTGCATAAATCCAAACTACTGAATGTGTGGCATGAAGGAGAAATCACTTCCCCCTCTTGGAGTTAAGTTTCTGGAGATGAACTTTCCCCTTCTGATTGACCTTTTAATGTAAAAGCAGTGACAGATGTGTATTAATCTCTAAAAAAAATGATGTGGCATTATCTTATCTTTATTTTTACAAAACTGATCTTACAAGTTGCCTTCCTCTTTTGCCTGTACTAACATTTCCTACAATTTTATTTTGTTTAATTAATTAATGTTACAAGGTTTATATTGTCTTGATGTTTGCACTTCTCTTTCTTTTTTTGTTTGCTGCCTACCTGATAACATATACAGCAGCACTTTGGTCAACTCAGGTTGTTTTTCAACGCGCTATATAAATAAATTTGATTAGATTTGATTTATCAGAGCATCACGTTGCCAGCTGCTGTGCCGGGTCATTATTTGGCAAAGAGAACGTGTGGGATTGGCCTCATGATAAAAGTCTGATTTGGTCTAACTCGGTGGATTTGTAGTTGATCTAATAATAGCAGTGACTCCTCACTGGGTACAAAGGTTGGCAGAGGTGAAAGGGTTTTTGCTGTAAAATGTGCTTTACACTAGAGAGTGAGAAGAGCTGAGGATGCTCACTATCTGCGTCCAGAGGAGGATGTTGTGGTGCTATAGTCTATAGGCTGTAAAGGGATGTTTTGACGAAAGACCCAGGGGCTTATTTTTCTGTTAAAAGACAATAAGACGTGAGATGAAAAGCTGCACAGATGTTGTGTTTTTGAAAAGAAAGAGACAACTCTTGGTTCCAAATTATTGACTCTTTCTAACAGTTATTGTTTATAAGTTTTCCATGTTTTTCTTTAATTAAAACTGCTAATTCTACTTATATTGTTCAAATCCTTCTTGTGCAATAGGTCAGTGTTTAGGACAAGAATAAAGCATCTGCACATTGCAAGTGAAAAGAAGTACTTGATTTCCAAAAGAGCTGCAAGGTGGTACAGTTGGTTGCACAGCTAGAAGGTCACCAGTTCACGTCGCTGGTTTGCATCCCGGTGAGGACACCCGGGATCTCTCTGTGTGGAGTTTGCATGTTCTCCCCGTGCAGCGTGGGTTCTCTCCGGATTCTCCGGCTTCCTCCCACAGTCCAGAAACATGTTGAGGTTAATTGTGCTTGGCTGTCTGTCTCTAAGTGTAGCCCTGTGATAGACTGGTGACCTGTCCAGGGTGTCCCCTGCTTTCACCCTAAGTCGGCTGGGATAGGCTCCAGCCCCCCGCGACCCTAGTGAGGATTCAGAGATAATGGATGGATGGATTTCCAAAAGAGGCCAGAGAGGGGCAGTGTTGTCCTGCAGCTCAAGCCCTTTTCGAGTACACTTTGCTTCACTGCAGGAGAATGAATTCTTAGAATCAGCAAGGCAAGAATAACACAATCCCTAAATGTTTTGGTTTGATTTCGTATCTCTGCTCGCTCTCTTGTACTACACACTACTAATGATAGTCCACAGTGCGTCTGCGTGATTCCATTTCCACTGGTGTGTATCAGTGTACACAGAGCCGTCTCCATGCTCACAGTATTTATATCCTCCCTATCCGTCCTATCCTCCCACCACACAGGCACAGGAAAATGATCTTCACTTGAAAGACCATCTGCAAATACCATCCAGGGCACTGTAACGTTCCCAATATAACCTCACTACACGGTCAGCTGTGAAGGGGGGGGCGTCCAGGCGGTGGCCTCGCTCTGAGCCGTGAGCGAATCATCCACTTTGCTCTTTCTGGATTGTGTTTTCTACGCATGATTGAGCGGACACCATGATGAAAGGGGAAGATTCAGAGGAAGTGGAGATTGACTTGGAGGACTCCAGTGACCCTGAAGAATTTGAAAATGAGGAGGAACCTCAGACGCTGTGGAGGGCCCCTCCAGCTCTGGAAGAGGAGGAAAACATTCATACGTCTACACTGGTGGAAATCAGTGACACCAAGCCTCTGATTAACGCCAGAGACCCCCGAGGCATCAATGACTGTCTCAAGGTATTGCAGAAGCTCTATTACAGTTCGCTTTATGAGCCATTTGCGACTTTATCTTGCTGTGTATTAGCTGATAAGAAAAAAAATCTCCAAGTCATTGACATGCAGAACCAAGAGGCTGCTTGGCTGATTGCACTGCCCTCCAGTGGAAACAATTCATTTGTCCAAAGTAAACAGGAGCCCACCAGGAACACATACCTTGGTAATATCGATATCACTTTCTTCTTTGTGTCTCCAGGTGACGTTTGAGGATGTGATAGCCGAGCCAGTGTCGGTGCGCAGCGGGGACAGAGTCTGGATCTGGAGCAACGCCCTGTTTGAGGTGTCCAGGATTTGGATTTACAGGATAGTCACGGTACTTCTGGCCATTCCCACGTCGGTTATCTCTGGGCTCATCTTTGCCATCCTCAGCTGCTTCCACATCTGGTAGGTTCAGATTTGCCTGCTTTGCTTTACACACTGAGGAAATCATTTGTTTTCTTCGTACATACCTCGATGAGTGTCCAACCACATGGATCATTTTTATTTCATTCACGTCCAACCCAAACAACAAACTTGTCCGTGTCCCTGAACAAGACACAAAACACTGTCAACAGTTTTCAAAGTCTGAGATCACTTTGCTTCAGATGCTTTTCACCGTTGTGAGCACCACAGGAAACATTAAGTCTCCTTTCATTGCACTCTTGTGGCTGCGACTATACATGGAGCCATAAAGATGAACATTGGTTCTGATTCCCCTGGAGGCTGAAGAGGCCCCTGAACCCCCGGGAGATGAAACGAGCCTCAGAGCAATAACCAAGCTGGAATATTCTCTGCAACACTGTGGATGCGTCACCCAACTGACGATGTCTTTTTATGGCCCTGGAGAGAGATCTTCCCATTAAACTAAAAGCTTTTGGTCAAGTTTGAAGGGTAGAGGGGGGTCTAATGAAAGGCTGTGTCCTGCTGCACTTTGGGAATTTAGGTGTTTTGGAAGGAGAGCCATGTGAGGGAGGAACTTTGAAGATCTGTGGTGACGCAATAATCCCTGCAATCGATGTAGACGCCAAATCTTGCTTGAGTGTTTTTGGAAAATAAGTGTCATGTTTGATTCAACTATTAATAATAACTTAATAATAGAAATTGAACAGGAACTGCAGGTGTCTCAAAACCAGTGGTTCATTCCTATAAAAGACTTTCTTACTTGATCTTCTTCTTAATTTGTGTGTCTTTCTTTGACAGGATGGTCGGCCCCTGTATCCACTGCGTTCATATTGGGACTCGCTGGCTGCAGGGCCTGTGGAGCATCGTGCTGGGCGTCATTGTGCGTCCGTTCCTCACGAGCGCCGGGAAATGTTGCGGCGGCTTTAGCATTCACCTTGCCAAAGAATGAGACTCACACACGAGAGGCACATCCCAAGTGGAATCCTTCGAAGTGGACCTGGCCCAAGAGGGCGCTGATTTTTGATTCTTAAATTTTTAAATAAAAAATAAAAATATATGCTTTAAATGGTCAGAACCGCTTTTATCCAAGTTCCTTCTTCTTTATGATTTTTTTCTAACAGTAGGTTTTTGCGTCTTGGACCCAGCACAGTGGCAGAAGAAGGTGGTCGATTCTTAATTTCACACTTTTGGAACACTTTTTTCGCCCTGATGTCACAGTGGAGTTACGATTCAGGTCATCATTCAGGTTACGTAATCCGTCTCAATGCTTGGGTTTGGTTTTGTATTTTCTTGTATTTTTAAACTGCAATTTAGATTGTAAAGATCCCCTCCATCCCTGTTTGAAGAAAACTATTCTTACACTCTTTGAATAATAATTTGTGTCTAATAAAACGTTCAACTGCCTGGTTAGAAATCCTTTAATGATGTCTACACCTCCTCAGTCACTGGTAAAGTCTAGGGTCTATGAATATGCAAATACTCTATTTTTCCTTTCAATATGTGTTGACTGGACACTAGATGTGTCCTGCATCACTAAAAGTCGCTTCTCATCATGTGTGCAAAGCACGCCTCAAGTCTTCACATTATTTATGTAAGCATAGGGAAACTTTCCACTTTCTGGACTTTAAAACAGACTTCTGGTGTCTGAACATACTGTGCATGATTAAATACATCAATAGTCGACACATTGTTGATAGAGGGAGACTATAAGAACAAAATTCTACATTAATTTTAAGATCTATCTGTAGAAAAGAGTTAGACTGGAAGTATTAGCAGCATCAGAAGTGCTGTCCTGAGAGGAAAGAGAAATAAAAGGCATGATTTAAAGTTTTTAAAAGTTTTCCACTTTAGACTCATTACTGTGATTGAAACTAATCATTAGAGCTGGAACGCAGGGTTTCCATACAAATGAACGTCTGTTAGATTCAAGCCTTTTCCAAATGAGTTTAATGATTAAGTGCATCAGTTTCAGGTAAGCCTTTGTGCATTTTTCCGTATACCAGATATCTGGTATCTGCTGGTGCACTGATGGTGGTGAATTTATAATCGACCAGCAATGATTGATTTGCCACAGCTGAAGAACCACTGCAACCACTAGAAGAATGGTGGGAAAACCAAGGAAGCACCATTCAGAGGAAGGGTGACAGTTTTTACAGTGAGGGTGCATAGACAGTGTTTCTGTTGTTACCTTTGCAGCCAGAAGGGGGAGACAAAAGTTCTGCAATGTTGGTTTAAAACACTGTTTATCACAGTATCTGTCCTGTTGCATTGCTAATACAAGATTTATGCAACAATATCTATGTATTTATCCATTATCTGCACATCGCCTAATTCTCACTAGGGGGGCTGGAGTCTATCCCAGCTGACTCAGGGTGAAGGCAGGGGACACCTGGACAGGTAGCCAGCCTATCACAGGGCTACACTTAGAGACAGACAACCAAGCACACTCACGGAAATTTAGAATCACCAATTAACCTCAACATGTTTTTGGACTTGCGGGAGGAACCTGGAGTACCTGGGGAGAACCCATGCTGAACATGGAGACTCCATGCAGAAAGATCCTCACTGGTACATGAACCAGCGACCTTCTTGCTGCGAGGCAACATTGCTAACCACTGATCCACCTTGCAGCCCTCTATTTATTTATGCAATTGTTTAAAGATTGAAAGCTGTGCTCTACATCAGGACTTGACTCAACAGGAAGTTAAAACAGCACGTTCCCATAAAGTTAAAACATTTTAGGGAGAAGTCTCTGTGCAAGGCTGGGTGGTGTTAGGTTTGGGATAAAAGTTAGGAGAGAGTTGGGGCAAGTCTGAATGAATGTAATCAAGGTATCGTCCTCCACAGTGATGACTGTTTGTCGAGACGATCAGGAGGAGCGTCCACATCCACACCAGGGCAATCGGCCTCATCAGCACAGACTTTATTATCACAGAAATGCATGACTGGAAATAAGGTAGACATTAGCATACATTTGTTATTATATGTATGTGTCTATAAAAACGTTTTCTCAAACAGCCTTTAACATGTTATGGTTGCCTTTTAGAGATATTTGTAAAGAGACAGAGGAGGAATAAATCTAAACATTTTGACTCATTGGGTTTACTGTGTGTGCTCTCATGCACAACAACCTGTAAGTCATTGCTAGAATTTAAACCAAACTGATGCCTTAAGAAAAAAATACTGTTGTTTTGTTAGCTGTATGTTTCATTTTAGGTACGTTTTAAGCTTTCGTGCTCTGCTTTCTGCAGAACGCTGCCATACACTTCAGTGTTGCCTTGGACAGCTTTAAGGTTACATAAAGCTCAGGACATGAAAAAACACAGCTGTAGAATGCACATTATCCCATCCTGAAGCTGAACATCTCAGTGTGCAAAGTATAAACAGATGGCACATTGCCTTAAATCATACAGTAAAAGCAACAGAGCAAGAAAATAACAATAAAAAATATTCAACACGGCCAGGAGGTGAAAACATTGTTCTGGTTTGATTCCAGCAACAGTAAATGTGTTCTCTGACACACGCATAGTAACATTAAAAATCAACAACCTAGAAAATAAAAGACAGAATAGATTAAAATAAAATAAAAATACTGGTATGGAGACACACACTGGGAGCAGTGAAAACTATTTACAAAGTGAATTTCATATCACTTCATGACAACAAACATTATTTGATCTGTACAGCAAGACAGTCTTCTGAAATCTTCTGGGGTAAAAAGCATTCCTGTGGAGTTTGCTTTGTTGATGAAATCTGGTTGTGTTGTTACAGTGCAGCGCTGCATTAAGCCGAGCACCAGGAGTGGATATCAACCAGCCATCATAATGCAAAGTGTTTGCACCCGAAGCAAAGCTGATTTAAAATGGGTAAACAAGAACTGAAGCAGTGCCTATTCGTACAGATCAAAATGTTTTCTGGCAATCTTTTAATCAGACAACTTTGTTCTTTTTTTCTTGTGCAACATTAACGTAGTTCTTGCTTTTTATGATAACTCGGACCTACTAATGTTAAGAGTCACATCAGGATCACGACTAGAAGAACATGTGTTTAAGATACATCACAGCAGTGCTCACAGAAGTTGGAAAATGCTCATATTTGTTCAAACAGAAAGGCGGAGGTTCCATCTTTAGATGCTGAAGCCTAGAATATAGATCAAACACGTGGTTTGTAGGACTCTGATGTAAAGCGAGTTCAAAGGGGGAGCAGTGTTTTGGGAAAGCCAAGAGCACACATCCTTAGAGATTTAAAGCAACGCCAGCTGGAGCTGGTGGGTGTTGGAGCTTCACTTTCTGTCACATTTTGTCCACATTTTGTCCAACAATGGCTTTCCTGTTATCGTGGAGTGCAGGGTAATGTCTGGACAGGAGGTTTACATTTTACATTTGGCTCTATTTAAAATTTGAAAACAAACATATTGCAACGGCCAGTGCAGGGCGGTGCTAATTAAATGCCTGAAATGCGGACTTGCATGATAGCTGGATTACTCGAGAACAGAAAGCGGCTTTGGGCTGGTTCCTCACGGCGCTGCTCCTCCGGTGCTGGACGTGTGCGTGAGGCTCTTCTGACTGCCGGCGTTCTTGATCACGCACGTGGACGAGCCGCTCTTGTGCCTGCACTGCTGGTCACAGCTGCAGGACGAGTCCGTCAGATACTGTCTGCAGCAGCAGAAGAAGCACTGCGTCAGGTCGTGGAACAGGTGACCGGCGAAGAACATGTAAATCCAGGGGTTACAGCAGCTGTTGAGGCTGGCCAGCAGCATGGCGATGATGAAGGCCATGTCTGGGGAGAAAGAAGGAGGCGAGAAGTTGATTTAGAAAGGAAAGCATCTTAAAGTTGCCATGAATTGGCACAAGAAAAATACCAAACCTGGATATGTCGTGAACTAGAGACGGTCACTGTTGTATGAACTACATTAAAAACACATGAAAGATCGTCACCATTGATTGGCCGACATGTGAGTTCACTCCACGCTGCTGTTCAGTTTTAAGACACCATGTTTAGTCACGACTACACCAAAAAATGTCCAATACAACGTCCTCCTGTTTGAGTAATGCTGCTCAAAACCTTTTTTAAAAGTCAAACTAAAACATCTGACTTGTTTTGAGTCACAGACGAGGTAGAGAGATGTTCAGAGCGACAGGAACATGTTGTTCAACTTTTCTTTGCATTTGGGGACAATGACAGAAACACAGATTGGACAGACTCCAGCCTAACGCAGCCACTAATAGAATAAGCAGCACAGAACATAAACAGATGGGTGGATCTCTAAAAAGCTCCTAAAATAGCACGTTTTTCTTGATCCTCCTTAAGATCTATTCACACGAGGATAAAGTCTTTCAAGCTGGTGATGTCAGTCTGTTAGTTAATTCAGTTCTTTTGTTTTTTTTTATTGCAGAATCTGAATGACTGGATTTCCGTGGAATTTGGCGAAACATTCATGGTCCCCGGATGATGAACTGAAATAACTTCTACCTGTTATCATCATCAAGCCATTAGCATCATTGGTTTATGGTTAAATACCTACAAAACATTCTCCATGAAAGTTTTATTTTGCATGTAATTGCCTCGTTAGCCTGTTAACTAACTTACTAGCAGTGTGTTTAATGAAGCTACACTTGCATTAAATTCAAGCTAAATGGTTATAAGCCAGACACGGGCAGTCAGGTGTCAGACTGTTTCACATCAAAACCACTCTGGGCCAGTTTTAAAATCTCCTTTTCGCTTATATAAATCCCTCCCTGCTCTGAACTTGTATTTCCAATGATTTACAGAGAAAAATATGAGCCGACACGTCGCGGCACACCAAAGCTTTTGGGATTACGAAAACAAACTATGAAAGGTTGATGGATGCTGCACAAATTAGTCACAAATATGACAAATGGCCTCAATTAAGCGAGAGGCTGTCCTGGGTGGAAAAAACAGAAGTTATTTTCTCATTCATTCAATTGGTTATGTTTGGGGCTCCACAGCGCACTGGGGAAGCATCTAATTTGAACAATGGAAAGTGGAAAACATCCAAGTTGCTTTTTTTCCCTAATCCTTGATGGGGTGTGAGAGATTTAGTGCTAGTCATCTCCTTCTCGCCTCCAGTGCTGACCCAATCCCTTGCTGCTGCTGCTCTGACTCCCCACTGCTTTATTGTGAGGTTTTACTGTGAGCAGTGTCCTTCATGCAACCCAATGTACGCTCTAAATTATGAGAAGTGTTGGACAGATAAGTCAAACAGCCTGTCCAGAGCTGTGATATTACTTGGTGCAGGAAACCTTGGCCATCGGGAGTGCAGATCTCCTGAATCAAAATCCCACAAAATGACAGCATTTAAACTTTTTTTTTCTTTTCTCCTTTTAACCCTGGTGCAGTTCACTCTGCCTTACAGTGCATTCACCAATGTCTTGTGCTGCCAGAAGCGAATGAAAAACATTAATCTTGGCTCCCTTTCTGCAGTATCATGATGTGTTGCTCTTTTGGGCATACAGCTGGAAAAATGGAGGAAGCTGCTGTCACTTAGTTGAAGAACACCACTGCATCAAAGATAATTTTGAGGATAAAAAGTTAAACAAACACTGCGAGAGTACAGAAATTCAGATTTCCATTCACTATCAGTGAATTGTCTGCAGGTTGCACAATGTGATGACGTAACGCTTAAGCTCAGGCAGGTGAACAGCGAGCTGGTGGTTTAATCAAATAACCGGAGCAGCAGGAAACTCACCTACATCTTAAACTAAGAAACAATACTTCAAAGAGACGTTGACTTATCTTTATTTTCGCGCCTAGATTTGGACAGAGGATTGTCTCCTTTGAAATCTATGGGAAGTTATTATGAATTCTGTGCACAGTGGCTGAGTTATTCTGAGTGCTCCTTTCATGAAACTGATCCAAATCCTGCAAATACACAGAGATATTTCAACCTGTGCTTTGGGTAACGCACGGCACAAATCATAATTTAAAGGTTTTGTTTGCCAAAATATATACATGCATCTGTTGTTCTCTCCTCTCCTAATTATTGTTTGTTCTTTTAAGTAACTTGATTTGTGCTTCAAGTGGGATTTTCATCAGTAGCATCCCAGCGGGTGTGAGTGATGAATCATGGTGTTGCTGTCCAATGAAAACTGAAATCTGTTGGCATTTAATTTTTCACATACCTTGAAAGTGAATTCTTGGTTGAGAGGATTCTCCCACATAAACCATTAAAAAACACAAAAAACAAAACAAAAACATTGCCCAGTAAGATGAGAACTGGGCTGTTTTTCTTGGCTCATAAAAAGTTTACATTTTGGAGATGCAGTGTTTTCAGAGGACAGCTAAGTATGTCAGAGTTTACTGTCATGAATGTGAGACAAATATACATTTTCTCTATTAATAATAAGATGGTAACAATGGCTTTTAATCACAGATACTGTTTGTACTGCCAAAAGGTAAAAGAAAAGAGCTCAGTGGTAAAGTTCACCGAGTCATTCAATCAATCTTTATTACTATTACAACACAGACTTTAGGATTTATAGCTCCAGTGCATGCACTCTGTCTCAATGTGTGTTTTTCCATAATTTGTGCAAACTGTTTAGAGGAGGACTAAAACAGGAAGATGATTAACTTGGGCAAGTCTGCCACTCTTGATCTAAATCTTGGAACAGCCTGAATTACAACTTGTGCGCATTTTTCGAGATAACACAGCCTGAAAGGTCATTCATCACGTCTGCCCTGCTGCTCTTGTTCCCTTTAATGGCAAACTAACAAGCTACGTGGGGCAAATCTGAGGAAGAACTCCAGTTAAATGGACATTATACAAACTATCACTGGGAATTGAGATAAAAGCTCCTTGATGTCTGGGCACATTTAGTGTCCCGTTGGCTCTGAGGGAGTCGCCTGAACTGATAACCACTGTAAATGACATTCCTATTCAACTGTGTTCACTCTGGGGAAGCCTGTATTCAGACACCATTGTCTTGCTGTGCAAGAAAAATGGATTGCTTTTGCATACTAAAAGATAATCTGTGAGGTGGAAGAATGACCTTTGAGTGTATGAGACACTTAGTGCTGAAACATTGTTGTAGAATAACTGATTTTTTTCCCATCAAGGGTTTATGGGCAATAAATTCCCCACAGTAAATCTTGTATAAAGATGACCCTCTGCCTCCTCTTGTGTCACTGAGCACTTTGCACATCATAGCAGGTGGATAATATCTTCACAGAACAATAAGTACTGGCATCAATCCTGAAAATGTGTCAACATGATGCATTTATATTGGGACTATAATTCAAACTGCATCACTGGTGACAGGAAAAGAGGACCACTGGGTGTGACTTTACCTTCTCTTGGTGCAGCAGGATCCCATGCAGACCACATCTGGCAAAAGAAAAAGGGAGTCCAGCACACAATGTATGCAAGCACCACTACAAATGTCATCTTCACTGTGCGGATCTTGGCTTTCGAAATGAGTCTCACGCTGCTCACACGAGACAGTGGATGTGCGCCTTTGGAGGGCCTTGGAGTGAGAGCCATAAAGTGTTCCCTTCTGGTTTTCAAGTTGAAATTCTGCCATATTTTAAAACATATCAAGCCATAGCAAATACATAAAATCGCAACTGGAAAAATGTAAATGCTGAGACTCATCCAAGTGATGTATGCTTTGGCTCCCCACGGCTGCACGAAGTCTCCCCAGCAGTCATACACACCGTTCCCGACCTCCCTCAGAGAGAATATGTAAGTTTGAGGAGTGCTGAATATCAGGCTGAGCATCCAAGAGGCGAGCACACAGAAACGGTCTTTTCTCTTGTGCACGGAGCGGAGCGGCTGACAGATTGCTAAGCACCTGTCAATGGACATGAGGACGAGCATGTAGGTGGACGCAAACATGCCCACGACCTGGAGGTACTTCACCAACCTGCAAAGCAAATCCGGCCCATAGAAGCGAAAGGTGATATCCCAAATGAGTTGTGGTAAAACCTGAAAGATTGCAACGACGAGGTCTGCGATGCTCAGGTGCTTCATGAAATAATACATCCGAGACTGGCTGTGCTTGGTGGTGTGGATAGCCCACAGAACGCACAGGTTGCCGATCAGAGCGAGCAGCAGCACCAGGACCAGGACAGTAACTTCCACTTTGGCCACTTCTTCATTTCGTTTCAGAGGGTTCACTGTGATGTTCCCCGAGTGACTTTCGTTTCCACGACTTGAGTTGCTCCATGAAACATTCTGAGACCAGCTATCCTGCTCGCGTAAAAGGTCTTCCATCGTGCGTAAAAGCGCCACTTTGGCGCGGCCAGCCGTCACATCACAAACGCGGATTAAGCGCCGCTGTCGGTTGTTGTAGTGTAGCTGTCATGCGCAATTTACTTCCAGTCCCCTTCGTTAAACTGTGCTTTATCCTTGCTGGGTTAAAGTGCAATATAATACGGAATTCAGTTCGGTATTCTGCAGAGAAACAAAATATAACAGTTTAATTTAAAACTCTCTTAAAACTCTCGCAACCTTACAAAGAAATGTAGTGATCACATAACCGTATTAAGTGATTTTGTTCAAATGAAACTCACCTTCCCGAAGCTGTTTCAGAGATCCCGGAGCACCGCAGTCCTCATCGCTGGCTGCGTCCAGTTTAATGTCTGGTCTGCTGAGTCTCTGTAGCCTATCCTGCCAGTGTCAGTAACCCCCTCCCCTTATTTTGTTTTCTTCTGAAGGAAACTGCCTTGGCTGAGTATGAGCAGGCTGCACATTATAATTCCTCCTGCCCCTAATGGTAAATCAAACGTCCCTTAAACAGCATTTTATCTTATCGTTATCACGCATTTTGAAGTCGATGCTTTTAGCATTTACATTATTTGAAGTGATCCCTTGTTTGTTTCAAGAGGAGGAAAATTCCAGTGATCAATAGGGGCCACGAGTTTTCCAAAGGTGACCACATGGAAAAGATGCTATCTGGAAACGAAACTTTGGGTGAATGTAATTAAATCTGGGGCTGTGAGGATGTGCTGTAAACTTGATGTTAAGGGTTAGCCAGGGATGATTAGAGGGGGAGTCAAAAAGCATATTTTAAGCGAGTAAGTCAGCAAATCCAGTTGAACAGTAAACCTGCACAAAGTAGGCTGATGTGAGTGATTGCAAACAGAACCAAACCAAACAGCTGTCAGGAACAACTTACTTCCTCGGGCCATATTAAATTTCCAAAACTGCTCCCTGAAAGGAAGGATGTGAGTTAGAATTCAGGTGGTCCACACAACACGCTGAAGAAAGAGGTCATTAAATTATGAAAACAAAATGATTGTTGCTTTCATACAACAATCAAAATTGAGGTTTTCATTGAAGATATCTGGCTTTTGAATCAAACTCTTCATGTATTCGCTCACATTCAATTTAAACTAATAACTCTTTCCTGCTGCACAACATTCCTGCAGTAAATGCTTTTTGTGCAGACATACAAAGCCATTATTTAAGTGAACCTGAATATTTCTTATTTAGTCCAGCCACAAACAGGTCACTGCTGCTTTCACTTGGGAGGAAATGTTTACTGAACCACACGTGAACATCATGTACAGTGTGAAAAGCGTCGATTCCTCTCTGTTTGTTTGACACGCTCGGCTGAACGCTTGCAGGTGTGCCATTGTCAATCACCGGTTCAGCTGAAAAGCCCTCAAGTCGTTTTGAATGAGTGCTTGATATAATCTGACCGTACTGGCAAGTAAACGGGCCTCTCCTTTTATTTGTCTAGATTGTCAGCAGGTGCCAGTCAGTGACCAACCAACAGCTGACCGACAGCAGTAATTTCAAGCAATTACACAGCTTGTCCACAGAACGAAGTGCTGCAAAGAGACAGTTCAATAGAATTCAAAGCGTTCTGCTCTTGAATAACCGTTGTTTTGTTGTAATAAATCTATTTAAAACCAGGTGAAAGAATTTGAATCCCCCACTAAATCAGTTTGTCTGCACTGAAGAGCTCGCTGAAAAATGTTTGCATGCAAATCTGACAAATGCACACCTGAGAGAAAGTTGTCTTTAACTAACTAGAAGATCTCTTTGAAAAGAATACCGGCAGTAAAATACACCAGGAGCAGAATAACGGGTAGGTCATGGCTTCATGACATCTTATGAGTCACTCACCTCGCCGCCACACACAGATCACATTTCAGTTAAAGAAAAAAGAGCAGAAGCTGAATTTCTGACACCTCCAGGTAGTTATCAGGACATATGCCAAATGACTGACACCTGTGACATTTGTCTCCCCGCAGTCAGCATGAAGGGTATGAACTGCTCGACCTGTCGCACGAGTTGAGGAGGCTGCATATAAAAATGACAAACAAGGTGTTGTTGTTTTGGACATATAGGTCCTCTGCAATGGATTGAACCGCGAAAAATATCATCTCCGTGTGTCAAAATGACATGTTTTCCCGTAAAACAATTCTCTCATGCCTTAAAATAGCTCAGCTGTAACTCTGCTCCACTGCTTCTTCCAGAATGGGCACATGTGGTGAATTATCCGCCACCACCTCCACCCGCGTGCTGCACCTGGAGCACGGCAGCTCACCTTCGACAACCGTTTTCTTCACTGTTCGTTGCCTTTAACGTCTGTGTAATAGTTGAGAGTCGCATAAAATAATAAGTAAACTTTACTGCTTATGCTGTAATTGTTGACTTAATTGTAGTTCTTGGAGATGAAAATGAGACAATGGTTGAGCGTGCCAGACTGGCTTTTATGAGGATTTTTTCTTGCTGTTAGCTTTCAGGCTTTGTTCTTGTGTTTTTCTTTCTGTCCTTGGTGGTGTTGATTTGTTTTTTTGCTCCTGTTGTGTCTTGTGTTGTTTGGTTATTTTGGTCTTGTTGTGTCTTCCGGGTTTTAGACAACACCGTTGTGGGTGTCTTTAGTGTTTCTAGAATCATGTTCTAAATAGCCATGACTAACTGCGAAACAATCAACAAGTTAAAGTTGGTAAAAACAGCATCCTACTAAAAGCTTGAAGACTCTGAGCCAAATAACTTTCTTCCAGATGTGGTTTGATTGACAGATGTGGTCATATGAATCAACAAGCCCACTAACTAATGACCACCCTCCCATTTTGATTGAAGTGATGCCACATCTTGATTGGTGCCTGAATTTCTTCCTGAGGTCAAATAAAAGACACATAATAATGATTCATCTCCCCTGCAAACAAAATCTAGACTGTTGTAACTTTGGCAGAAAATCTTGCGTCCTCCATTAGGGACCCCACGTAAAACGCTGTGCAAGAAAATGGGCCCTATAAATGGTTGATTGTTGTAGTAAAACTTATCATTACCTTGGTCTCACATTATCTACATTCCTTGGCTGAGGAGTGTCTTTTAACTTTACGAGAAAGCAGAGACTGTAATGTTTAAAGGACGACAATAACTTGTGTTGTCTTATGTCGTATGAGCTCTGCGTTTCTCTTCTCTACTATTCATCATTATTCTTAATTATACTTCAGTAACGTACAAAAGACAAACACTGTTGTACCTCGATTGCTTTTATCACTGCTCATCCAGATTTCCACAACAAATTAGCACCCCAGATGGGACACAAACCCTTAATCCCTGGCTCAGGAAGCCAGTGCCTTATCCATTAACTCACTATTTCACACCACATGAAGTAAAACTCTCCACAGTGAGTGTAGCACTGGCTAAGAAGGACATTGGTGATATTTCTCCCTGGTGAACAGTAAAAAAATTCTCATTAAATCGGTGAGATCGCTTTGGAACTGGAAAATCTGACATCTCTCTTATCAACTGGACATTCAGCGAACTCTCCCAGCACCCAGAACCTCAGAAATGTGGCTCTGCAGAACAGAACGATGCTAGACACGAAGCTCTGCAGTCGGGGAGGGGCTTGTCATGCTGCAGTTGTACATACGTTCCTGATATTTCAGTGGTTAGCACCGTCGCCTTGCAGCTAGAAGGTCGCCGGTTCGTGTCCCGGGATCTTTCTGCGTGGAGGCTCCATGTTCTCCCTGTGCAGCGTGAGTTCTCTCCGGGTTCTTCCTCCCACAGTCCAAACACATGTTGAGGTTAATTGGTGATTCTAAATTTCCGTGAGTGTGCTTGGTTGTCTGTCTCTAAGTGTAGCCCTGTGATAGACTGGTTACCTGTCCAGGTGAACCTGCCTTCACCTTGAGTCAGCTGGGATAGACTCCAGCCCCGTGCGACCCTAAGTGGTGTATAGATAATGGATGGGTGACTCATCTCAGTGATTTTCTGCATGAGGACAAAAGCAGAGACTCCTAAAGGATGGAGCTGGTGGTCTCTGCTGACCACTGGAGGCTTTAAGTCTTCAATGATAAAGTTGTTTGAGTCACTAATGGGCTGTCATCCCTTGTGTTAAGGTTATGATTATCTCTGATTAAATCTGCTTCTGGACATTATGTACAACTGGAAAATCATGTCCCTCAGACTGTGTGCTGCCTGATCATGATGATGACTCAGAGACTTTGTGATTTCATCTCCAACACTATGCAGTTCATATTTAGTTTTTTTTAAAAATTATTATTATTATTAGTTTGCCTTCATGTTAGAATGTTCTATGTCCACAAAACAATTTTTTTTCCATCATACACTTTGTGGTTAATGTCACTAAAATCATTGCAGGTTGACTTTTGATGTGTGTGTATTTACTCTCACCTGTTGAACACAATGATGTGATAAAGTAATGTGATTACTGCTTCTCCTTGTCGTCCCAGGATCACATGCTCAGTGACCCCGGTGGTCCTCGGTGGCCTGCCGACTCCTCACAGGTGTCTCGACCTTCACATCTGAGATCCCCTCTTTGGCTTGTATTGACCTACAAGACATTTCAGGGCGGCCTGTGGTGGTGGCGGCAAAAGAGATGCTCACTTTGCATGATAGATTTATGTCCTGAGTGGCCATAAACTGACCAAGGGGGGAATTCTAGCATAATTTACCATCACCTTGGTGCATTCCTCAGCAGAGGAGTTTCTGTTATCTTCAAGAGAAAGCTGACATCATGTTTGAAGGATGAATGCTTCAATAATTTGTGCTGTCTGGTTTGATCAGCTGAATCAAACCTCTTCTATTATTCTTTATTATACTTTAATAAAATATGACAGACATATGCTGCTGCACCTTGATTGCTTTCATTACGGCTCATCCATAACGGTTATTTTAAACTATAACGACTTCATGGCCCCGAGAAGCCACTTAGTTTGTTTATGCCTCAAACCGACTCCGAGTGTATCGACCAGAAAGCTCTACCAAGTTTTATGAGTCATCCAAAAGCATCTGAGGACAACATTTTAATACATAATGCAGCGTTAGGGGTCAGACTTTATGCAGCGCGCTCTAGTTATTACCTACATCATACAGTATTGTACACAACCTCTCTCTTGTGTTGTTGTTCTCAATCTGTTAAACACTCGCAGCTGGACAAACCCCCGTCGCTGCCAATCCGGGCTGTTGACTCCATGGTTTAAAAGCAGCAGCTAATTTGTAAGCTATTTTAACAATAACGCACAGTACTAAGCGTGTTTGACATCTTATGTAAACTTCTCACTAAGACGGTTTATGAAACCACAACTACAAATAATGAAAACCCACACAGCATGAAATTCGGCCGGACATTTTATTAAAAGGAACCGAACACTCGGGAAAAA